TGTGTGCCTGTTGCAGCACCAGCTGCCCCAGTTACTGGTGGAACGGGGACAAGTACTTGGGTCCTGCTGTGCTGATGCAGGTAAGGATGGATCCTGTTTGTCACATGGGGCTGCCTAAAAGCAGGACAGATAGGTGGGACAGTATTGCACAGTCCACATTTTGGGCTGGAATTCCTGAGGGAGGTGTTGCTTTTAATGCTTCCCACTGGTTACAACACCTTGAAGAAGCATTTGGTGTGTCAATGGCTCTGACTTCCAGGCCTATCGCTGGATGATTGACTCCAGGGATGACTACACAGAGGAGCGTCTGGCTCAGCTTCAAGACCCGTTCTCTCTCTACCGTTGTCACACTATCATGAATTGCACAAGGACTTGCCCTAAGGTATGTGTGTGTCCTGTCTGTGTCCCTTGTAGGGTTCCTGGATTGTTTCCAAGCACCCTGCTTGAAAACCAACAGGGAAACACTCACTTAAGCTGGCTCTTTTTCCTCAAGCTTGCCTTGGCTTGTTCAGCCTCTTGGAACACAGCAAGTTACCAGCAGCTGTGCTTACAATAGTGGCTGTACAAGAGGACATGGCAAAGTTTGTATTACACACTGCAAGAACATCTCTTCCTTGTGAGCAAGGCTGTGACTTTAAGAACCTGTTTCCAGGCTTTAGAGTGTGACAATAGGGCGCTGGTCATGAGAGGGACACTGACAGAAATGGTGCAGGGAGGTTTGTGCTGTGTGGTCCAGTCAGTGGTCTGAGCACCACAATACTCTTAACCCTCCACAGTGCAGCCTTAAACTCCAATAGCAGCAACTATCCCTGGTGTATTGTGCAACTTGCGTAATGGAGAAGGCTGCAACAAGCTTTCAACACCTCAGAGGGACGTGTTTTATGCTGACATCCTGCTGTTAGGACATTTCCCAGATGGTCTGGTTCTCTGGTATTTCTTTTGAGAACTGAGTAAGCTTTCCCAAACCAGAGTGTGCCTCTTCCTCATCTTGCAATGACCTTGTGCCTGTTGTTGGGCAGATTAGTGAGTTTTGCTTTCCTGCCAGTTGTGCTTTGCACAGCCTTTGCACCTGGTGGTGGAGTAATTCCTGAGCTGTGAACTAATACGAAGGTAAATATTTGAGCAGATGACAGATGGGAAGGGGAGGTGATTGAGATCTGGGCTGACACGGTGCATGCTCATTTCTCTGTGTGTTTCTCAAGTGATGCCCTGACTACAGACAATTCCCCCTTTGTAAAGGGAGCTAGCTCCTGATCAGTGTCAGCTGTTCAGCTGAAGGTGAAGGTTCAACTTGAAGATCTGGCTGTATGTAGGAATGTACACAGTGTGAGGAAACAGCTCTTGGCCTTCAGTTTGAGACACCTTTGTGGTTGATAACACACTGCCCCTCACATGCTCTAATCCTGTCAGTTGTCTTCATCAGCCCTGACAGACTGCACGGTGAGCTCTGCACCAGGGGCAGTTCCTGTTCCATTCTCAGCCATATTCTTATCTTGAGATTAGCCATGATCAGTGTGGTAGCAGTGCTGCAGGATGAAGGGCCTTTGTGACCTGACGTGTCTGTACTGTAGGAAAACCTCCTTAGGAAAGCTTGGCTGACTTGTGTGGGGAGCATTTACAGCTGGCAATTTTGTTCTTGGTTACTTCCCCAGTGTTCTCCAAAACAGTTTTATTTCTGGTAAGGAGAAAAGCCGCATCAGCTTTTCCCCATCTCAGCCTGGAGAAGAGAAGCTGCATGGAGACCTCAGAGCAACTTACAGTGTCTGAAGGGGGCCTGCAAGGATGCAAGAGAGGGACTCTCCATCAGGGACTGTAGCAATAGGACAAGGAAACAGGAGAAGTTTAGGTTGGAGATAAGGCAGAAGCTCTTCCCTGTGAGGGTGCTGAGGTGCTGGCACAGGGTGCCCAGAGAAGCTGTGGCTGCCCCATCCCTGGCAGTGTTCAAGGCCAGGTCGGACACAGGGGCTTGGAGCAAGCTGCTCTAGTGGAAGGTGCCCCTGCCTGTGCAGGGTTTGGAACTGGATTAGCTTTAGGCTCCCTTCCAACCCAAACCATTCTTTATTCTATGGTCTCTTGTACCATCACTGTCAGGTTTTACAAGGTGGTTTCCTGTCTCCAGAACTCATTATAACCCCTATAAAACTGTTGAATTCCACCCTGCTTAAGCTTTGTTAGAAGTTCCTGTCCCTCAGCTGCTCACTTCTCTTTGATCCTCGCGTTGCTGATTCAAAACCAGTCCTCCAAAGTCAAATGAGCAGTGGGCAGTGCTGCTGGCTCAGCCTGCAGGTAGAGGAGGTGAGCTCCCAGCACTGCTGCTCTACTCCACACTGCCTTTTACCCTTGTAAATTGAGCTGGAGTGCAGCAAACCTGCAGCAGCGTGCTGAAACCCATGGCTCTACGTGCCATGGTGCCTGGCCTGCCTGGAGCCAGCTCTTCAGAGCTGCCTCTCATTATGCTTTAACCTCCCAGCGTTGAAAAGGAAGCGCAAGATTAGGCTGGACTCCAGCTTTTGGGGGGGGGAAAGGATGCTGAGCACCTCCTCTGCCAGTTATTTGTGTGAGTAGCAGCACATTTGTGACCTTACCATGACTTAGATTGGGGTGAAGCAGGAGGTGGGGGCTTTAACGTGCTGATTTTCCTATTTTTTAGGGTTTGAACCCTGGTAAAGCAATTGCTGAGATCAAGAAGATGATGGCAACTTACAAACAGAAGGCAACTGCTGCGTAATGCTGCTCCCTAACTGGAAGTGGAACACACAAACATGCTTTACCTGAAAGGAATTTATACCTGATTGAGCAAGAGAAGGTTCCAGCAGGCAGTTTGGTTTTTTCCCTATAGGTTTGCACGTACAATAAATACTGTAAAGAACCAAAAAGAGCTGTTACTTTATTAACAATATTGAACTGATGCTTCTGCCTCTGGTGTAGCATCCTTAGGATCTCTGGGATGGGGTTTTGAGTGTGTGAGGAGTTGGGGTCACCTCTGGGGCTCTGCTGTGGATGAGGATATGAACATGGCCCCATGGCAGAGATGAATGGAGACAGGATATCTGTGGTGACCTTGATCCCATGTCTTGAAAGCGAGTGCATGTGTGGGAAGAGACCTGCAAGTCATAAGCCCTGTGGCAATGAGCAGGAAAATGATGGAAGTGGCTGGGAAAGGGGGATGTTGGAAGAATCTCATCCTGTTCTGGAATCTCCTGGGAATCCCTTGGGCACCTTAGTGAGGATCTGGAGCTCCCAGGGTCAAAGGCCAGTGGTAGTGCTGTTAGAACAGAGGTGTCTTGCCACTGCACTGCTTGTTGGGCTTATTTTCTATTCCAGCTCCTGAAGTAGATTTATTAGAACAGGGTTGAATCTTCCTCTGTGCTCCAGCACAAGTGGTTTTGTAGCTCCTGATTACCCCAGCTTGTGATGCTCAGGGTGGGTTGTTGCTTGAAGCAGCAGTTTTTGGTCTTAGGGGGATGGAGAGAGGGGAAGTGCTTTGTTTTGCCCTCTAATAGATAAATTTGTATCTAGATGGAGTTAAACGCTTCTGGAAGTGTCGTGATGCTGCTTCTGAGATGTGCTGTGCTCCCCAGGATGCTGCCAGCGGGCAGCAGCTGAAGACACAAGTGGCAGAAGAAGCTGTCTACAAGGTTTACTCCCCAAATGACCATGGTTGTTCCCTATAGCTAGCTATCCCACAGCAATGGAACCTCCTGGCTGCCTCAGGAAGCTCAGCTGATGTTGCTGCCTTCATAGTTGTAGGAATACTTGGGGGGGCTGCAATTCTGTGTCACTGAATTGCCCATCTTTTCTGTGTCTTGAATGTTGGAGCACCCTGCTCTAGTGGAAGTGTCCCTGCCCATGGCAGGGTTTGGAACGGGAGGAGCCAGGGAAAACATTGGCTTTATCTCCCTTCCTGGCACAGAAACCAAAGCTCCCTTGTGTAGGGATGGGGGCACAGCCGCATTTGGGGTGAGGGGGTCAGAGCAGCCCTGCTTATAGCATTGGTTTGCAGTGGTTGGAGCCCCACAAGCAGAGCTTTGGCTGGGGGGAGGTTGTGCTCTGCTCTAGGGAAGCAGTTTGGGGCTGCACCCAGGTCATGGCTTCAGAATCCCCTTTGGAGCAGCTTTCCAGGAGGAAACCCTGCACCAGTGTGCAAATGAGTGGAGAGAAAAGGGGGGGGGGGCTGCAAACCCCCTTTTGGGGGCATCCTTATATGGGGGTGCAAAGCCCTGTCTTTCCTCACAGGATATGGGGGTGCAAAGCCTCATTTGGGGGGCAGAGCCAGTACATTTCCTTGCAAGATGTGGGTTACAAAGCACCCTTTGTGTGGCAGCCTTTTGCCTTTCTTTGCAAGATAAGGGGATGAAAACCCCCTTTTGGGGGGCAGAGCCAGTGCATTTCTTTGCAGGATATGGGGGTAAAAAAAACCTTTTGGGGGGCAGAGCCAGTGCATTTCCTTGCAGGATATGGGGGTGAAAACCCCTTTTTGGTGTGCAGAGCCTGGTGCATTTCCTTGCAGGATGTGGGGTTTAAAAGCACTTTTGGGGTGCAGCCCTTTGCCTTTCCTTGAAAGATGTGGGAGTACAAAGCCCTTCTGGGGGCAGAGCCAGTGCATTTCCTGGCAGTTTCTGGGGTCAAAACCCTAATAGGAGTTAATCCCAGGTTATGTTGGGATGCTGCTTTGCTTTGGGGGGGGGGGGGGTAAGTGACTACGAGTCCCAGCATCCCACATGCTCCGCCCTTCCGGGGCTCCCGCCCGTGTCCGCCCGCCATGAGCTCAGGTCGGGGGGGTCCCACGCCGGGTGTTTAGGGGTGCAGAAGGGATGCAGGGACACACACCCCCCCCCGCCTCGCTTACCCAATAGGGGTTAGCACATCGTGCGTGGCTCCGGGGTTGCACTTTGCTGTGCGGGTGCCTTGGGTTGTGTGGGTCGGGGATTGCATTAGGGTGCAAGGGGGGAGCGCACCCTCACTCTATTCGGCGTTATTTTGCCTTTTTTTGGCCTTATTTTGCAGCAGGGGGAGGAGGTGGGGATGATGCAGAGCGGGGTGCAGCCCCTCCCCGCATGGATTTGATGAGGGGTCAGAGCGAAGAGAGGAGCGCAGCATCACCCCCGAGGAGCCTTTAGCGCACTCTGGGGTGCTGTGGGTCTGGCAAGCTCGGATCCTGAGGTCTGGGCTTGTGCTGTTACGGGGGAGCTGCTGCTGCTTTTAATGGGTGCTTCCTTACTGCAGAACCGGTTTGGCTTCACATCCCGTCGGGACACGAGCGCGCAGCCCCGCTCCGGCCGGCACCGCTCCATGGGACCGTGTGGAGAGGCTCCTGCTGATGAATCCACCCGGAACGAGGGGAAACGAAACCCGAAGTGACGCTTTCGGATGCTCCGAAAGCCTGCGGCTGGATCCCTGCGGCACAGCGGGAGCCGCTTCCCTGCCAGCGGGTTATTCCCTCTCGGTGTTAGGGATCCTCCGAGCTCGCTGGGACCCGCAGCTGGAGCGGAGGAGCCTTTGGTGGGATCATCGTGCAGACGAGGTGGATCTTGAGGTTACAAAGGACCGCGCTGCTTGGCTGACCCTGCGAACCGAGCACCCCGGGGTTGTCTCCCGTCGGGAACGGACGTAATGCAATGTCGGGTGAGTGAAGCCTCAGTGATTGGGCTGGCTGTGGCTTGGCTTTACAGCCAAAAGACCCTTTAGAAGGTGGGGAAAATGCACCCAGGTGTTCCGAAGAGGCTGGGGAATGCAGTGTTGAGCTGGAGGAAGCATCCTTGTGTCTCTGGCGTTTCTCATTCCGTGTAGAACCAGTGGAGCCCTTCCGACCTTGTTTCCTTTTGAATTTGCCCTGGTTGACATGGAGGAGCGTCTGAATGAGAAAGGAAGAGCTTTGTGGCAGGAAAGGGAAGAGGGCAGCACCCGTTGCAGGTCTCCTTGGGTGCCTGGCCGTGCTATGGCTGTGGTCCCTGCCACCATGGTCGCTGCCAGTGTGGCCACCCCACTTCCAGCCCCTCAGACCCCCTTTGCCCCATCTTTTACTCCAGATCCACAGCATAGCAACACTCGGGGGGGTTAAACCTCAACCCTCTTAATCCCAGACTGGTTTGTGTTGGAAGGCACTTAAAGCTCTCCCAGCTCCAACCCCTGCCACTAGAGCAGGGACCCCTTCCACTAGAGCAGCTTGCTCCAAGCCCCTGTGTCCAACCTGGCCTTGAACACTGCCATGGATGGGGCAGCCACAGCTTCTCTGGGCACCCTGTGCCAGCGCCTCAGCACCCTCACAGGGAAGAGCTTCTGCCTAAGAGCTCATCTCAGTCTCCCCTCTAGCAGGTTAAAGCCATTCCCCTTGGCCTGTCCCTACAGGCCCTTGTCCAAAGCCCCTCTCCAGATTTCTCAAGGGGGCACCTGGGTTGAACACTGCCAGCCACAGATGCTGGCTCCAGAGGCAGGAGATGCTCTAATCCTGCCTTAACACTCCAAAACAGGGGTGCTGGGCTGCAAGGAGCACATCCCTCCTCTTCCTCAGTGTGATAGAGCCCTTTATTTAACCAGGATAGGGGGAAGACGTGGGGTTTGGCTCTAAACAACCTCTTGCTGCATGGCCAGTGGTTGCTGAGCGAGGATGCTCCCTGAAGCACTGGGTGCTTCTCTTTGGCTTGTGCCATACAGGGAGGTCCTGCAAGCCTGGGTAAAGAGAGGTCAGCGTGATCCCTGCCCAGCGTGGGGCAGAAACCTGCCTTGCTGGAAGGGTTTGACCACATTACACTGCCTTAGCTGGTGGTGTCAGCGTGTGGTGAAGCAAACGCTGGTTGTGCCACCACCTTCATCAGGGACTGTAGCAATAGGACAAGGGGTGATGGGTTCAGACTGAAACAGGGGAAGTTCAGGTTGGAGATAAGGCAGAAGCTCTTCCCTGTGAGGGTGCTGAGGCGCTGGCACTGGGTGCCCAGGGAAGCTGTGGCTGCCCCATCCCTGGCAGTGTTCAAGGCCAGGTTGGACACAGGGGCTTGGAGCAAGCTGCTCTAGTGGAAGGGGTCCCTGCCTGTGGCAGGGGGTGGAGCTGGATGGGCTTTAAGGTCCCTGCAGCATAAACCATTCCATGAGTCTATGATTCCCTGCAAATCCAGCCAGGAGCCAGTTTGAGGTGAACAGAGCTGCTGGGTGAGCACTTTCCCTACAAGGACTTGATTCCCTCACCCATCTCCAGGGCTGGATGCATGAGCACGATTCCCCTGGGATTACCGGTGACGGCAGAGCCCGAATCTCCCTCTTCCACATCCCCACCTTGCATGGAGCCATGTCCTTTTGCTTCTCTCAGCCTTGGTCTGTTCCCGCTGGTGGCTGCTGCCAGGTCCGGGTAGGACCAGACCTCCTGGTGGAACACGTTTGCTCCGGCTCTGGCGTGTTCTCATCGCTTGGCTCGTGTGGATGAGTTGATGCTGGCTGGGTGGGAAGGGCAGGAGGATCAGCGCCATCTCATCCCAGCCCTCCTTGGGTCTGGGCATGCCCCTGCCCATGACGTCTCCCATCCCAGGGGAAAGCCTGAAGGCTGCTCTGGAAGTTCCTCATGTTGTCCTGCAGGACCCAAGCACAGTTCTCCTTTCCCCATCCTTCCTTCCTTCCTTTTGCTGTGTCTCCAAGGGCCCAGATTGACCTTGCCAACCCTGTCCCATTGATCAGGCAGCACCATGTGGATGGAGGGATGGAGAAGGATGAATGGAGGATGGTGGATGGATGGATGGATGGACGGACGGACGGACGGACGGATGGATGGATGGATGGATGGAGAATGGATGGATGGATGGAGGATGGTGGATGGATGGATGGGTGGATGGATGGTGGCTGGCTGGCTGGCTGGATGGATGGATGGATGGAGGATGGATGGACGGATAACGCTGCTCATTATGGAGCATCGAGCTGGGAACAGAAGAGCACAGGGAGATCTGGGAGTCCTTTTGGGGTTTGTTTGCTTCAAGAAAGGTGTTTGTAAAGGGCTGTGGCTGCAAAGGGAGCTTGTGGAGAAGGTCTCTGTGACCAGCACACATCTGCTTCCAGGATGGACATGCTGCTGGGGAGAAAGGCTGCATCTGGGGGCAGAACCCTGGGGCAGGGACCAGTGCCAGTGTTCACAAATGGTCCTTGGCTGGGGCTGCTTTGCAGGAGGTGTTCAGTGCCATGAAATGTGTGGTCTCGAGGTTCCCAGCTCTGCTTGGATGCCAGTGCATGTGCTACATGTGAGGGCATCACAGAATCCCAGACTGAATCACAAGGAAGAGCTTCTGCCTAAGAGCTCATCTCAGTTTCCCCTCTGGCAGGCTAAAGCCATTCCCCTTGTTCTGTCCTTGCACACCCTGATGGAGGTCCCTCTCCAGCATCCAGTTCCTGGCTCCCCTCTTCCCTTTGCAGCCACTCCTGGCTGTTGTATCCCTCTTGATCCCTGCTTAGCAGCAGAGGGAGCAGCAGCTCTTGTCCCAGGGCTCTCCATAGAGGCTCAGCGAGTGCCCTGCGCTGTTTGCCCACGAGGTGTGGCCTCTGCTCCAGGATTCAAACCGTGGCGCAGCTCCTTCCCGGGTGCAGGGATCCCATCCCCGCATCCCGTCCCAGCCGCGACGGCTCCGGTGCAGCCGGTGGGGTGAGTCAAGGCAACAGCCCTATCGCTCACTGTGCTCTGGGGAGCACCCGGGATGGGAGCAGGAGGTGAGGAGCCCGATGGGGATGGAATGGTGCAAGGATGGAGCTGGCTGCGGCTACCCCTAAAGCTTTGCTGCTTGTAAGGTCTTAAAGTGTTGGTAACAGCAGCGTGCAGGTGGAGACGTGGCTGTGCTTGGATTGTAGAATCATGGAGTGGTTCGGGTTGGAAGGGACCTTAAAGCTCCTCCAGCTCCAGCCCCTGCCACAGGCAGGGACCCCTTCCACTAGAGCAGCTTGCTCCAAGCCCCTGTGTCCAACCTGGCCTTGAACACTGCCAGGGATGGGGCAGCCACAGCTTCTCTGGGCACCTTTGCCAGCGCCTCAGCACCCTCACAGGGAAGAGCTTTTGCCTTATCTCCAACCTGAATCTCCCTTGTTTAAGCTTAAATCCACCCATCCGGGGTGGTTTTCCCAGCACAGCTCCCAGCTGGCATGTGGCTGGTTAATCCAGTCACCTGGAAACAAGAACCTGCCCCAACCAGGAAATTATCCACATGCTGCAGGCCTGGGAGCTCGCTCCTGGGTTGGTGTTTGTGCCACGTGTTATCTCCCTGCTGCTGCTCTAAGATCCCGGAGCTGGGACGCCACAGCTCGTAATCCCATGTGGATACAGGGATAATGAGCAAGTTCAGCTTCATGGCATGGAGAGTAATGATTAAAATCTACCTGGGATAATCCCTGCCTGTGGCAGGGGGTTGGAGCTGGATGCTCTTAAGGTCCTTTCCAACCCAAACCCGTCTGATGATGGCGATGCCTCCAGCGATCCCCATCTCCCCAGCTGGGGATCAGCAGCAATTGGAGGTGCTGAGCCACTCTGGGCATCCTTAAAACTGGAAAACACCAATGTTGTGGCCACCTCCTCCATGCAGGGAGGAACACAAGGAGCAAACAAGCATGAAAAGTGCCTGAGAGAGCTCTCCCTGAACTTGACCTGGCTCTGGACCAGCCCCGCTCCCTTCCCCTGGCTGCTAAGCCACTGGGTTTGTGCCAGCTTTTCTCCTTGGGCTCCTTTGACATCGTTCGTGTGACCATCACGTGCCACAGGCAGGTGACTGGGAGGTCCTGGGGTGCCCCGTGCCCGCAGCATCCCCCTCCCAAAGCAGCTTCGCCGGGAGCGCGGATGGAAGAGGGGACACGGAGCCCAGCCACCTCCTGGGATTGATCCAGGGATGTCATTGCTGCAGCCGGGAGCCCATCACCGTGGCAGCTCCTAAATAACCCCCGGGATCAGCATCTCTTTATTTCCTCCCCTCCCTGTTCTTTGGCTTTGCAGACAGCAGCAGGCTGCTGGGGAACCAGCGGCCGGGATACGGGACGCTGCAGACGGACACGGACACATCCCGCATGGTAGGTGTGGGGAGGGAGGCAGCGCCCTGCTGGGCTGGCACCAAAACTGGGTTTGGGTTCAAGGGAGCTTAAAGCTCCTCCAGTTCCAACCCCTGTCACGGGCAGGGACACCTTCCACTAGAGCAGCTTGCTCCAAGCCCCGTCCAAGAAGAGCTTCTGCCTAAGAGCTCATCTCAGTCTCCCCTCTGGCAGTTAAAGCCTTTCCCCTTGTCCTGTCCAACACCGGCACAAGACAATGGTTTTTCAGCCCCAGATTTACATTGCTGTCACCTGCCTGGTGTTAAACCGTGCCAGGACTCAGGGCTTCCATCAGTGCAGGATGCAGGTGCTTGCTGACCTTCATTTCAGTTTGTTTTATGAACAAGCATTCCCATACAGGTCTCCTCCTTTCTTCCAGGAGGTCACGGGCTACCAGACCACGACGTGGCGGGTGGCCCTGTGCCACATTGGCTCTGTGCTGACAGCAGGGCTGCTCCTCGTCCTCTTCCATTGGAAGCCAAGCCTGGAGGTGCAGGTGAAGTGCAAACCCTGTGCCCTCAGCCAGGCCGACTGGGTCATCATCAGAGTAAGTCCTGGGAAGGTCTGGGGTTGGGCTCTGCTGTTGGCTTCCCAGGATGTGATGTCCTTGGGCTTGTTCCTTCCTGCTTTCCGCAGCCACCAGCCTGGCCTTGTGTTTCTCTTCATTGTCCCTGCAGCCCAGCCAGCACCTGGGAATGGGGCTCCCTACCTGGGCTGCTGTCCCTGTTTGCAGGAGCAGGGGGGATCCATGGGGAGCTCCCCCATTCCCTCTGCTCAGCCCCTGTGTCTTTGTTGCAGGACAAATTCGGACAGTGCTTCACCACGCGTGTGTGCACAGAGGCGCTGGGCGAGGGCAGGTGAGTTGGGCTCACATCTGGACATGGCGAGGGGCTCACATCTGCATTTGGCTTCCAGAGAGCGGGGCCGTTTACAGCAGAGCTGGTGGGATGGGGAAGGCCTGACCCTTGTTTTCCATCCCAAGCAGCCTGGAGCATCACCCCGGGGCCAGGCTGGAGGACCGCAGGACCAGCATCGCTATCGGTGTGTCGGAAGAGGAGGAGAGCCGGGACACCATCCGGCTCCATGAGAAGGAAGAGGTAACACCGGTGACCCTTCCCACCTCTGCCTTGCAATGCCTCTCCCTCGTGTCTTGCTGACACCATGTGCTCATGTCCTCAGAAGAACATCCTGCGGTACTACCTCTTCGAGGGCATGCGCTACGTCTGGGTCGAGCGGCGGCAGATGTACTGCAAAGTCAGGTACTCCCCTGTCCCCTTTGCCACAGCAAAACTCCTTGCATCAAAGCTGGGATGCTGGAGAGGGGCTCTTCATCAGGGGCTGCAGCGACAGGACAAGGGGTTAAGGTCTTTTCCAGCCCAAACCAATCTGGGATTCTGTGATCTCTCTGCTGCTCCCTTTGGCCCCTCAGCCCCCTCCATGTGGTCCTGACCCATCCGGAGGTCACACAACCACTGGGGCTGGAGCTTTTCTCTGCACTGCAGAGCCTTTGGCAACCATCCCAGGGTGCTGGGTCAAGGAAGCCGCTGCTGTTCCCCCGGTCTGTTGGTGCTGCCTGTCTTTGTGGGCAGAGGAAACCAGGCAAAGCACTTTGGCAGCTGCCCCGTGCTGGATGCTCTTCTCTGAACTGTGCCCTTTTGTTCCTGCTCCTTGGCACCCGCGTGCTGCAGCAGGGGCCGAGGAACAAGATCCTTTCCCGTTCCCAAAGGGTTCTTTTCTGTCAGCAAGGACTTGGACGTGGTGTTTGTGTCTCTGGGCCAGGCTCCTGCTGGTTTTGACTCCGTTTCCCTGTTTTCCTTTCCCCTGGTGCTTGCCAGCATCTTGGATGAAGGCTGGACCTGCGCAGATCTGCACCTCTCGCAGGCTGGGCTCAGCCAACAGGACCACAACACCAGGTAGGGATCTACCAGTTCCATGGGCCATGTGGGGAGCACAGATGAGGCTTTTCCAGGGGCCAGCAAATCCCAGAGCCTGGGTTCTTCCTGCATTCAGACCTCAAAGCAGAAGTGGGCTGGATTGCCCTGGCTTGACTTCTCCATGTAACCAAGCTCCCAAGGAGGTCCGGGCAGTGTGAGGGTCCCTCAGCATGGAAATGCAGCTTTTCCTAGCGTGGATTTGCTTTCCTGTCCCCTTTGCAGAAGGAAGATCTACGGAGCGAACCTCATCGAGGTGCCGGTCAAGTCCTACGCAAGGCTGTTGGTGGAGGAGGTGTGTGTGCATCCACAGTGCTTCCAAAGAGCCTCTTGTCCCAGGGCAGATCCTGCTCCAGGTCCCTCCCTGCCAGGGCTTTGCAGGTCCTTCCTCTTGGGTAGGGAGGAGATCAGAGAAGGCAGAGCAGGTGGAGGGGACCCATCCTGCCCCTTAGGTCAGACAGGAGCATCCCAGCTGGCTGCAGAGGTGGCTGAGCATCCTCAGGAGTATCAGCCATAAACCAGGCCAGGGAGGATGGAGGGTTTGCAAGCAGTCAGCTGGTGCATCCCCAGCCCCAGGGAAGGGCCAGCTGCTCCTCTGCATCAGCAGCTGGTCCTCAAGGAGCTGGAAGTCTCACAATCATCGAGTCATGGAATCCCAGCCTGGTTTGTGTTGAAAGAGATCTTAAAGCTCTCCCAGTCCCAACCCCTGCCAAGGGCAGGGACCCCTTCCACTAGAGCAGCTTGCTCCAAGCCCCTGTGTCCAACCTGGCCTTGAACACTGCCAGGGATGGGGCAGCCACAGCTTCTCTGGGCACCCTGTGCCAGCGCCTCAGCACCCTCACAGGGAAGAGCTTCTGCCTTATCTCCAACCTTAACCTCCCCTTTTTCAGTCTGAACCCCCTTGTCCTATCTCTACAGTCCCTGATGAAGAGTCCCTCTCCAGCATCCTTGCAGCCCCCTTCAGACACTGGAAGCTGCTCTGAGGTCTCCACGCAGCTTCTCTTCTCCAGGCTGAACAGCCCCAATGTTCTCAGCCTGGCTCCATACAGGAGCTGCTCCAGCCCCTGAGCATCCTTGTGGCCTCCTCTGGCCTTGCTGCAGCAGCTCCATGTCCTTACGTTGGGCACACCAGCACTGCACACAGGGATGCAAGTGGGGTCTCGTGGGAGCAGAGCAGAGGGGCAGGATCCCCTTCTTCAACAATGAGCTGGAGGAAGCTCTTACCCCAAACCCTTCTCACCTTCCTTGTTCCCTTCTAGGTTCTCAATCCCTTCTACATCTTCCAAGTGTTCAGCATCGTGCTGTGGGTCTGTGACGCCTACTACTACTACGCTGCCTGCATCTTCCTCATCTCCACCATCTCCTTAGGGCTGTCCCTCTACGAGACAAGGAAGGTTGGTGCTGGGCTTATTTGGGACCAGCAGCTCTGGTGAAACAACCTATTCTCTGCTGCTGGTTGACCTCTGTGCTGATGTTGAACTCCCTCTGAGCCCAGCTGGGTGAGGACAGCCCATGTTCCCAGTGGTGCAGCAGGTTTCCTTGTCCTTCCTCTGTGATCCTGAGCCTTCCAGACCTGTTTTATGGATGCTTTGCTGTGCTTTCTGAGCTGACTGCTCCCTCCCTTGCAGCAAAGCACCACGCTGCAGAACATGGCCAAGATGGCAGTGGGTGTCCGAGTCCATCGCTCCGGCGGAGGTGAGTGTGATGCCTGCGATGAGTGAGGGCTCCCGGCATGGATTTGGGATGGGGATGATGTGAGACCTGTTAACAGGGGGTTCCTTGAACCCGTTCTGTTGGATCAGCCTGTCAGTGTCCCAGTCTGTCCACAACCTGGTGTGGGGATCCTACTGGACAGCCCATTGTGTCGGGGGGGGGGATTCAACCGACCTGTTGGGACCTGCAGTGACAGCGTCACCAAGTCCCTTATTTCAGTTCTTCAAATCTTTGGAGATTTACACAAAAAAGGGCTTCAGCTGAAGGATTCTCTTATACAAAAGGCAGGTTTGTGACAGGATGAGGGTCAGTGGTAGCACATGGACTGTGAAACCAGCCTGGAGCAACAGGCAAGCAGACTGTAACCACTGAAGAGGGGCTCTGGACAAGGGCCTGTAGGGACAGGCCAAGGGGAATGGCTTTAACCTGCTAGAGGGGAGACTGAGATGAGCTCTTAGGCAGAAGCTCTTCCCTGTGAGGGTGCTGAGGCGCTGGCACAGGGTGCCCAGAGAAGCTGTGGCTGCCCCATCCCTGGCAGTGTTCAAGGCCAGGTTGGACACAGGGGCTTGGAGCAAGCTGCTCTAGTGGAAGGGGTCCCAGCCCATGGCAGGGGGTGGAGCTGGAGAAGCTTTAAGGTCCCTTCCAACCCAAACCTTTCCAGGTTCATTCCAGGACAGCTGCTCTGTGGTTCATCAGCTGCATGGTACCATCTGGTTCCCATTCCTGCAGGGATTACACCAGAGCCTGGCTGTGGGGTCTCCACTCCACCCTCTATTACTCCTCTTAGCATGTGCTAAGGTGCAGCTTGCATTGCCTGGAGAGCTGTAGGGGAGCAGACAGTGTGTGTGCCAACACCCTGGAAGCAGCAGCTCTATTTCACCCTCACAAAGTCTTCTTAAGGCTCCAACTTCCATTAGGTCCTAGTTTTCCCTAATGCCCTCCTCCAAGTCCTTTTCCTAAAGGTGTCTGAGCGTGGCCATTGCTCTCTTGCAGAGGAGGTGGTGGTGAGCTCTGCAGACCTGGTGCCGGGTGACTGCATCAGCCTCCCTGCGGATGGGATGCTGGTCCCTTGCGATGCTGCGCTGCTGACGGGCGAGTGCATGGTCAACGAGAGCATGCTGACGGGTGAGAGCTGGAGCTGGGGGCACGGAGCAAGCCCTGCATCTCCTTGTGTCCTCCTCCATCCCTTTCCCATGCAGGCTGGTTGGATCCTGACCCCCCAGGGTGATAAACCTCCTCCTATGATGTTCCTCCTCCCTTCCATGATGTTCCTCCTCCCTCCGTGATGTTCTTCCTCCCTTCCATGATGTTCCTCCTCCTTCCATGATGTTCCTCTTCCCTTCCATGATGTTCCTCCTCCCTTCCATGATGTTCCTCCTCCCTTCCATGATGTTCCTCCTCCCTTCCATGATGTTCCTCTTCCCTCCATGATGTTCTTCCTCCCTTCCATGATGTTCCTCCTCCCTCCATGATCTTCCTCCTCCCTTCCATGATCTTCCTCTTCCATCCATGATGTTCCTCCTCCCTTCCATGATGTTCCTCCTCCCTTCCATGATGTTCCTCTTCCCTCCATGAAGTTCTTCCTCCCTTCCCTGATGTTCCTCCTCCCTTCCATGATGTTCCTCCTCCCTTCCATGATGTTCCTCTTCCATCCATGATGTTCCTCCTCCCTTCCATGATGTTCCTCCTCCCTTCCATGATGTTCCTCTTCCCTTCCATGATGTTCCTCTTCCCTCCATGATGTTCTTCCTCCCTTCCATGATGTTCCTCCTCCCTCCATGATCTTCCTCCTCCCTTCCATGATCTTCCTCTTCCATCCATGATGTTCCTCCTCCCTTCCATGATGTTCCTCCTCCCTTCCATGATGTTCCTCTTCCCTCCATGAAGTTCTTCCTCCCTTCCCTGATGTTCCTCCTCCCTTCCATGATGTTCCTCCTCCCTTCCATGATGTTCCTCCTCCCTTCCATGATGTTCCTCCTCCCTTCCATGATGTTCCTCCTCCCTTCCATGATGTTCCTCTTCCCTTCCATGATGTTCCTCTTCCCTCCATGATGTTCTTCCTCCCTTCCATGATGTTCCTCCTCCCTCCATGATCTTCCTCCTCCCTTCCATGATCTTCCTCTTCCATCCATGATGTTCCTCCTCCCTTCCATGATGTTCCTCCTCCCTTCCATGATGTTCCTCTTCCCTCCATGAAGTTCTTCCTCCCTTCCCTGATGTTCCTCCTCCCTTCCATGATGTTCCTCCTCCCTTCCATGATGTTCCTCTTCCATCCATGATGTTCCTCCTCCCTTCCATGATGTTCCTCCTCCCTTCCATGATGTTCCTCCTCCCTTCATGATGTTCCTCTTCCCTCCATGGTGTTCCTCATGCAGGGGAGAGCGTGCCAGTGATGAAGACCCCTCTCCCGGCTGGCAGCACCATCTATTCCCCGGAGGAGCACCGGCGGCACACGTTGTTCTGTGGGACACACGTCATCCAAGCCAAGTCCTATGTGGGCAGGGAAGTGCTGGCCGTGGTGACCCGCACAGGTAAGGGATTAAGGGATAAAGCCGGGATTAAGCTGCGTCCTTTGGGAAAGGGACCTTTGGGGCCAGAGGAGGGCAATGGAGCTGGTGCAGGGCCTGGAGCACAAGTGTGATGGGGAAGGGCTGAGGGACCTGAGGAAGCCCAGGTTCAGCCTGGAGAAGAGAAGGCTCAGGGGGGACCTGATCGCTCCCTACAAGTGCCTGACAGGAGGATGGAGCCAGGAGGGGCTGGGCTCTGCTCCCAAGGAACAAGGGATGGGACAAGAGGAACCGGCCTCAAGCTGCACCAGGGCAGGTTTAGATGGAGCTGAGGAACAATTCCTTCCCCAGCGGGTGCTCAGGCATTGGAACAGGCTGCCCAGAGCAGGGCTGGAGGCACCATCCCTGCAAGTGTTCACACACCCTCAGTGCCATGGGTTAGTGGTGGCCTTGGCAGTGCTGGGGAATGGTTGGACTGGATGAGCTGAAAGGGCTTTTCCAACCCGGTTGATCCCATGATTTCATGATTCTATTCTATGCCTTTGCCCATGGTTACCTCCTGCCCCTCTCCCACAGGGTTCTGCACAGCTAAAGGGGATCTCATCAGCTCCATCCTCTACCCCAAACCCGTGAGCTTCAAGTTCTACAAGGATGCTGTGAAGTTCGTCCTGTTCCTCGCCGTCCTGGGTAGGTTGAGCGCAGAGGCATGACCAGGAGCAGCCAAACTCCTCTGCCATGGGTGAACTCACCCTTCATCTGCTTTGCTTTGTAACCAAGCCCATTCTCCTCCCTCCTCCTGCACAGCTTTTATCGGCACGCTCTACAGCATCCTCATCTTGGTTAAAAACCAGGTAGGGGCTTGGGAGTCCTGGAGCACAGCCTGGGACCATCAGCACATGCAGGTGGAGATGGGTGAGCGCTGTCAGGATGCCCACCCCTCCTCCTCCTCACCTGCCAGGTCCCCGTGGGGCAAATCATCATCCGTGCCCTCGACCTCATCACTGTCATCGTGCCCCCGGCTCTCCCGGCTGCCATGACCGTGGGCACCATCTATGCCCAGAACAGGCTGAAGAAACAGGGCATCTTCTGCATCAGCCCTCCCCGCATCAACCTCTGCGGGAAGATCCGCCTGGTTTGCTTCGACAAGGTGAGGCTTGAACATCACCACGGGGCTGGAGTTCCCGTCTCCAGGGGCTGCTGTGGACCCTCCATCCTCATCCCCACAGACAGGAACCCTCACGGAGGAAGGGCTGGATGTGTGGGGGGTGGTTCCACTGGAGAACAACCACTTCATGCCCATCGTCCACGAGCCCCGCTGCCTGCCCGCTGGTCCCTTGCTCTACTCGCTGGCCACTTGCCACACGGTGTCGGTGCTGCGGGCACAGCCCATCGGGGACCCTGTGGACCTCAAGATGTTGGAGTCCACTGGCTGGGTAAGCAAAGTGATGGGCAAGGTGCCTGTCTGGAAAGAAGGAGGTGGGACACAGCAGGAGAAGGGGTGTTTGAAACCATCCATGCGGTGGATAGCGTCTCTCTATCTCAGCATGCCTTGGGTTTCAGCGCCTGGAGATGATGGAGGAGGAGGAAGGCGACCTACCTGCCTCCCAGCAGTTTGGGATGAAGGTCTTGGCTGTGGTGAAGCCTCCACCTGAGGAAGAGCAGCCACGGGACAGGGTACAGCCCATGGAGCAGTCGCTCCGGTTCCCCACACAGCAAAGGGTGGTTGTGCTCCGCAGCCCCTGGAGGGGGGTTGTACCTCCCGGAGAGGGTCCTGCCTGGCCCTGACACCTTCTCCCTCTCCACAGAAGCACCAGTTACCTGTGGGGATCCTCCGGCGGTTCCCCTTCTCCTCCTCCTTGCAGAGGATGAGTGTCCTGGTGAAGCTGCCCAGTGAAGCCTCAGCCCATGTCTATGTCAAGGGTGCTCCAGAGATGGTGGCCAGCCTCTGCAGGAAGGAGACTGGTACGTGATGGAGATGGGGGTTCACTGTCACTGCCCTGGTCCTGCTGCTCCGTCATCAATCTGCATCCCTGCGGCTCACCCCCAAAGGGAATTCTCCTTGGTGATGCTGTGGGGCAGTCCCCAGAGGCACAGGGCTTTGGATTAGCTTCATAGAATCATAGAATGGATAGGGTTGGAAGGGACTTTCAGGACCCTTAAAGACCTTCAGCCGCATGGGGGGAAGAAAACAGGAGCTAGAAGATGGGGACTGGAGGCTGGATGAGCAGCCAAAGCCCTCCAGTCCTTTGGGAGCTTGAGCCCTGGGTCCACACAGCCCAGGTTCATCCAGGAGCAATCTTGACCTTGGTTTTCCCCTCGTGGCTGGCAGTGCCCGTGGATTTCTCCCAGATGCTGCGGCACTACACCACGGATGGGTTCCGGGTCCTGGGTCTGGCTTCCAAACCCCTGAGTTCAGTGACCACATTCGAGGAGGCCCTGCAGCTCCCCAGGTTGGTGCCAACAACTTCTGTCTCCATTTGGACCTTGTTTGCGCCAAGCATTTCGTGGGATGCTCCATCCCAGCAGCCTGCAGGGAATTCCTTCTGAACCCACCTGGGTTTTAGCTGTTTGTAGCAGTTGATGCTTGTGTTGAAGGTGGTGTTGAAAGGGCTCCTTGTGTCCACCAGGGAAGCTGTGGAGAGCGGCCTGGGCTTCCTGGGCTTCCTCGTCATGAAGAACGTGCTCAAGCCGGAGTCTGCGCCCGTGATTCACCTCCTGCGCAACGCCAACATCCGCCCCATCATGGTGACAGGTGACCCTGCAGGGGGAATGGGGACACAGGGCTCGGGAAGAGATGGGAACACGGTCAGCCCTTGATGTGGTGCAAGGGGCGGAGGGTTCTCCACCAGGAATCACGGAATCCCAGCCTGGTTTGGGTTGAAGGGACCTTAAAGCTCCTCCAGCTCCAACCCCTGCCACGGGCAGGGACCCCTTCCACTAGAGCAGCTTGCTCCAAGCCCGGCCTTGAACCCTGCCACGGATGGGGCACCCCCAAGCCCTTCTCCTCAAGGCTGCTCCATCCACTCCGCACCCAGCCTGTAAGGAACGAGCTGTCCCCCAAAACACAGGGAAGCGAAGGGCTCCCTGGGAGAGGGGCCGTGGCAGGTTGGCAGGGACACGGCTCGCAGGACCCTGCGCAGCAATCGCTGCTGGTGCCTGCTCAGCGCCTGGGTCTCTCTCTGCCAGGAGACAACATGCTCACAGCCATCAACGTGGCGCGGAGCTGCCGCATGGTGGAGCCCAAGGAGCGGGTGATCTTCATCAGCGCCTCCCCTCCCAGCCACCACGAGCCCGCTGCCCTCAAGTTCATCCCGGCCGAGCATTCCCAGGGCGAGGAGCAGTCGGAGGTGGGTCCCGGGGCAGCGTCTCGGGGGGGGGGGGTGTGAAGCCCAAAGCGCCCGTGAGCTCGGGGGGCTCTTCCAGCATCCCTCAGAGCTGTCCCTTAAAGCCTCCGTTAGGAGACACCCTGCTCCTGTTTCTCCCTATGGGTACATCATGTGGTTGAGCTGATGCTCCAAACAGCAGGAGCAGACAGCACCTCACATGAAGGGCTTGCTCCCACGAGCTCTTTATCCCAAATCCCATCATTTATATGCCTGAAGTGAAGCTTTAAGCGACACTGCTTTACCTGCAGTTCCTTTACCCCCTGCTCCGTGTGCGTTGAGGATGCTGGTTCAGAGCCTTGCCCCGGGGCTGGAGCTGTAGGAAAGGAGTTGTTTTCCCCTGCAGGGTCTGTCCCAGCCAAGGGATGGATGTGTCCTGCAGCCTCAGCCCTGCCACTTCGCCCTGAACGGCAAATCCTTCGCTGTGGTTTGTGAGCACTTTGCTGAGCTGCTGCCCAAGGTGAGTCCCATGGCTGGGAACCCCCCATAACTGAGTGCCATGGGGGGGTTTCTTTGCTGGTGCAAGGTACCTCTGCCCTGCTGAGCTGGCAAAGCTCAGGATAACCAGGATGGGCAGGGATGAGGATGCTGTGGGACAAACACAGAGCGTTCCCGTCGTTGCAGATCCTCATCCAAGCCACCGTGTTCGCCCGCATGTTGCCCGAGCAGAAGACTCAGCTGGTTTGCAGCCTGCAGGAGCTCAAGTGAGTCCCCCCATGGATGGAGGGAGAGGGGATTAGCAGCAGTCATAGAGGGGATCCTGCCCCTCTGCTGTGCTCTGGGAAGAACCCCCTGCAGCCCTGATCCAGCTCTGGGGCAGCAGCACCAGAGGGACGTGGAGCTGCTGGAGCGAGGCCAGAGGAGGCCATGGAGATGCTGCGAGGGCTGGAGCAGCTCTGCTCTGGAGCCAGGCTGAGAGAGCTGGGCTGGGGCAGCCTGGAGAAGAGAAGGCTCCTGAAGGGGAGACCTGAGAGCAGCTCCAGTGCCTGAAGGGGCTGCAGGAAAGCTGGAGAGGGGCTTGGGACAAGGGATGTAGGGACAGGCCAAGGGGAATGGCTTTAACCTGCCAGAGGGGAGGCTGAGATGAGCTCTTAGGCAGAAGCTCTTCCCTGTGAGGGTGCTGAGGCGCTGGCACAGGGTGCCCAGAGAAGCTGTGGCTGCCCCATCCCTGGCAGTGCTCAAGGCCAGGTTGGACACAGGGGCTTGGAGCAAGCTGCTCTAGTGGAAGGGGTCCCTGCCCTTGGCAGGGGTTGGAGCTGGAGGAGCTTTAAGGCCCCTTCCAACACAAACCAGTCTGAGACTCTGGGATCCTATGCTTAGTGCAGAAGCTGTTGGCAGCTGCGGATCACATCCTGCCCTCTCCCAGATGTGGGGTGATCCCTGGGGGGTTCAATCTTGCAGCCCCAGCGCTTTTCCCCCATCCGCTCATGATCCCTTCTCACCACAGCTACTGCGTGGGGATGTGTGGGGACGGTGCCAACGACTGTGGGGCTCTGAAGGCGGCCGACGTGGGCATCTCGCTGTCGGAGGCAGAGGCATCAGTGGCTTCGCCCTTCACCTCCCGTGTGGCCAACATCGAGTGTGTGCCCACTGTGATCCGGTGAGCTGCTGGGACCCATATGTTGGGGGATACAGCCAGGGTGGGAGGTCTCCTGAGTGCCTCCGACCCCTCTTTGGGACAGCTCACGGCAAGGGTGCTGTGCCTGGTGGGTGAATCCCTCTTTATCGCTGCAGGGAGGGCAGGTGCTCACTGGTCACCTCCTTTGGTGTCTTCAAGTACATGGCCCTGTACAGCCTGGTGCAGTTCGTGTCCGTCCTGCTGCTCTACACCGTGAGTCCTGCGGTTGCCCAAATGCCTTTGGGTCACCTCGTCCCACCTGGGGTTTATCCTGCCCCTTTCCTATCCCCACACTGAGACCTGAGCTTTCTGCTTCCCAGATCAACACCAACCTGAGCGATTTCCAGTTCCTCTTCTTCGACCTCATCATCACCACCACGGTGGCCGTGCTGATGGGTCGGACCGGTCCTGCCCAGGAGCTGGGAGTGGAGCGTCCCCAAGGGGCATTGATCAGTGTCCTGGTGCTGGGCAGCCTCCTCCTTCAGACAGCTCTGCTCATCACCGTGCAGGTCCTCAGCTACTTCATCACTGTCTCACAGGGCTGGTAAGGGACCCAGCTTCACCTGGCTTTGGTGATGGGAAGGATCACAACGAAGCCCAAGTGGTTGGCCTTGGTTTTGGCATCAAGGATGCATCCAGCCACGCTGCGTGGCCCTGGCTGACCCTCTGCCTTGTCCCCTGCCTGGCTCAGGTACGTGCCACTGAACAGCACGGTGACAGCTCCCCAGAACCTGCCCAACTACGAGAACACAGTCCTCTTCTGTGTCACGGGCTTCCAGTACCTCATCCTGGCCGTCGCCATGTCCAAGGGGTACCCATTCCGGGAGCCGCTCTACACCAATGGTGAGGGTGATGATGGTCGTGAGGGTGAAGAGAGACATCAAACCTTCATCCTGCTCCTCAGCCCTCTTCTTTCTCCTCCTCAGTGCTCTTCTTGGTGGTCCTCATCCTCCTCTTTGGCCTCATGATATGGTTGACCCTCTACCCCTTGGGCTTCCCCAAAACCCTGCTGAAGCTGCAGGGCATCGATGACTTGAACTTCAAGCTGCTGCTGCTGGGGATCGCTGCCCTCAACTTCTTCGCTGCCTTCGTGCTGGAGGTAGGTGGGCACTGGGCACACAAGGAACAACGTCATCCCTTTGGGTCCGTCCAAGCAACCCCTTTTCCAGGAGCCGTGGAGGGAGCCGGGCTCACCTTGCCATCGGCTCCGCTCTCCCTTTGGCATCCCCAACGCCTGTTCTCCCCCCATGCTCGCTGCAGACCGCCCTGGACCACGGCCTCCTCGGCTGCCTCCGCAGGCTGCGCCGCAAGAAACCATCCAAGAAGCTTTTCAAGCGGCTGGAGAAGGAGCTGAGGCAGCAGCAGCCGGCCTGGCCCCCCCTCAACCAACCGCTCTTTGCGACACCCAAGATGTCCATCGCCGTGAGATAACACGGGCCGGGTGCTGCTGCCCTCAGCCCATGGACACTTGATTATTTATTTATCCTGGTAAAGGGAGGGATGCGGCCGGAAGGATCCTGCGGGAAGACCCTCGGCATCGGGGCTGTGGGGAGGAGATGGTGGAGGAGCAAACTGGGGGAGAAGGTCCAGAAGAAGAAGAGGGGAAACCATCTCCTCTCATCCCAGCTCTTCCTCCAGGCCCTCTCCTGCTCCCATGGACCCACCTCCCCACACTGGGCACCAGTACTGTTACGCAGGGGGATGCCACCTCCTTTTCCCTCTCCTGACTGTCCTAAACCACCAACCCTGATGCTCTCGTGGTGAGGACGCCCACTGCAACCTCCCATCTGCTCACTGTGACACAAAAGCCCTGCAGCCTCCCCAAGCAAGCACCCTGGATGTGTAGGAACTGTTTACAAAGCACCCCCCATCCCCAGCTTGCAAAGGATGCTGCTCACCCCCAGGACCAGCCGTGGGCCCCCTGCGCTTGTGATGCTCCCACAGAGCAGTTCTGCTTTTGGGTTATTGGACCTTTGTAGCATTAACATTTCCCCCCCGAATCTCTGTATTTTTTAACTCTCCTGCGGTGCGTTGAGGTGTGAGAGCAACGTTCGGGTCTGGATGGTGCTTCCCGAGCGTTCTCCAATAAAGTAACACTATTTTCTTGAGCACTTGCTTGTGCTGCCTGTGTGAATGGGGCAGGGCAAGGAGTGGATGGGGGAGTGGAGAAGGTGAAAGAGGTTTTGAGCCCCCCCTCCCATTCTCCCTCTGGGCTGGAAGATGCGGTCCTCGATGCCCCAAAGCAGAGTGAATCCAGAGCCGGCACCGCTGGGATTGCAGCAGCTCCGTCTGCGTATAAACAACCCCCGAGCCTGTTTCCAGCTTGAATTTCCTAGAAAACCATCGTAATTGCTGGAAAAACCCAGGTGTCCTCGCCAGGGCTGCAAAACCTCGCTCCTTCCAGGGCGGAAAAGCCAAGAGATGGAGATGCCGCATCCCAAAAGGGGCCGAGCCGAGCCCCTGGGGTGCCTGCATCCCCCTTCCGAAGCGGGGGATTCAGCCTGGCTCTTGGATCTAGGGCTGGTTCTTGCAGGGAGTCTCCTGCATGGAAAGTCGAAGCCCCTGCGAGCGCCAGCGGCGCCTCTGCCCTCCGGGAGCTGGGGATTAGATCAGGAAATGAGGCACAAGCAGAGGTAAGAGGTTTCCTGACAGCCCAGCCAAGGCTGCAGTTATTAAACCAGGCTGCCTGAGCTTGGAAACGCACACAAAACACACACAGGCCCCCGAGCCCTGGGCTTGGTCACTGGGAGAGCAAAAGGGGACCCTTTGCCCCCCTGGTTTTCCCCTTTTCCCTGGGGTGTTTTGCTTGGCTGCTCCTGCCCGGGGGGTTGCAAAGTCTCTTTGATGATTAACAGGCAGCTCCTGCCCTTGGTTAGAGGTTAACAGGGCTGGGGACAGGGACAGGGCTGGGGTTCGGGACAAGCAGGAGCTTTATGGGAGCAGCTTTTGGGTGTTTGGAGTCTTTGTGGTGGTTTCATCCATCCTCCAGCCTGGAAAACCAGGTTTGACAGGAGATGGGAGCACCTTACCCCCCCCCCCCCCCCCCTTTCTAGTCTGAAACTGGTTTTAGAGCAATCAGATCCCCTTTGTGCTCACACCTTGGCGCGAGTGCCTGTGGGTGCAGTGGGTGCAATGGGTGCAATCATCCTCCCCATTGCTCATCCACATCTCCAGAGATCCTCTCCTTCCACCCCAGCCCTCGAGCGCTCTCTGTTTGCTCCATTGCTGGCTTAGAACTCCCTAAAATGTGCAGGATTCCCCCCCCTCCCAGTGCTGGTTCTGTTCCCCCCCCAGGATCAGGGGGTTTATGGAGCATCCCTGGCCTCACTGGGATGCAGCCGGCATCCTGTGTGCTGCGGAAAGCCGCCAGCAAGCCGGGGGAAAGAGGGCCCCACGGTCAGCAGTGCTGGCTCCAGCACCACACAGGGGCTGCGGATCAGCTCCAGCATCCTCCGACGGGGTGGGAAAACAGGGAATTCTTGAGTTATTTTCCCTTCATCCTGGGATAAAGCTTTAAATCCGCTGCGGGGTTGCAGCATCCTCGCTGCTTCAGTGGGAGATGGAGCGCTAATGCCAAGCATGGAGTGAGGAGTGTTCTGGGGTGCCGGTATCCCAGTTTTGGGGGTTTATCTCCGTTTCCCCCAGACACCCGGGATCATGGAGCAATGCTTTGACACGACCCCTTCGTTCCCCCCACCCCACAGCAGCACAAAACCCAGCCTAAACTGTGCTCGGTGCTGCACAAAATCCTCCTCCCTCCTTGCTTTCACAATCAAAGTAGCATTAAATCCATTTCAAACTCATCCACCTGGGAAAACCCAATCCCTATCCCTGATGACCACTGCATCCCTGTGCTCTTATTGATCAGTTTGGTTTCATTCTTATCCCCCTCCTTCACAGGCAGCCGTTGGGGCGGAGGAAGGGGCCGGCTCAGGTGTGGCATTAGGACCCAGCGGATCCCCCATGTTGGAGGTAGGAGCTTTGCTTTTTGGGTTGTTTTTTAGGCTTTTAACTCATTTCGGAGTTTTGGGAAGCGCGAGAAGGGACCCGGCCGAGGGCAGAGCCAGCACCGACACCGCGAGAGGTAAGGACCAGGCGGGAGGGACCCCCCCATCCCAACCCCTGCATCCCGCATCCCCCCAGCACCCCACGGGACCAAACCCCATCTTTGGTGCTTCTGAAACCTCCTTAAAACTCCATCAGCGGGGCTCGGAAAAGCTGCTCCAACCTTTTAAGCTCATACAAAGCAAACCCACCTCATTTTTGGGGTGCTAAAAAGCCGCCAGCCATGGGGGGGGGGGGGGGGGCATTTTTGCAGCCTGACAGCTGATGGAGTAGATTTTTAACCACTTCAGTCGATTTTTAACCGCTTCCCAAAGTTTCAAACTCCCACAATGCCTGAAGAGAACGGCATTTTTCCTCTTTCCCTCCTGGGATGAGGCTGTAGGAAAGGGATATTTCAGTATTTCCATGCATTTTGTGTGTGTGCCCCGGGTGGGAACGGGACCCAAATGAAACCGCGATGTGTGAAAATGGGAATGGGGGGGAAAGAAGGGCTGGGTTTTACCTTTGGTTAAAGCCCCCCCCCCCCCTTCTAAAGTGAATCCTTTTCTATTCCCTTTGTTCTCCCACCCTCTGGCAACTGGAGAGCTTGGGGAAAAGAAAAAAAAAAAAGAAAAAAAAAAGGAAAGAAAGGAAAAAGGGAAAAAAAAAAGGGAGCTGGGGGAGGGGGGAACGGCTGGGGGGAGGTGGGGTTTAGCAGAATGAAAGAGCGAGGCTGTGGTGTTCTTTCTTCGGGGCTGATTGTTCCCAGATGTGCAGTTGCAGCAACATCTGGCGCTCTTGGAGCCGCTGGACCCCTGCACGGAGGGGAATGGGGCTGGGGAGGGGACCTGGGGCATCACCCCCCTCCCCTCACTGGTGCTGGTGGGGGGGAAAGGCGAAGGAGGGAGAGGAGGAGGAGGAGGAGGAGGAGGAGGAGGAGGAGGAGGTGGTGGCCCCGTTGCTCTTTGGGCACCTGGGGGGTGAGGACGGTGTTGGTGACCCCCAGCATCGCTGCCGGGGGGCTCTGGGGGTGGTGCTGGGTGCTCCGACGGCCTCAAGCAGGAGGAGAGGAGGCCAGGGCAGACGTGACCCGACTGTCCCCGCTCCCGGCCAAGCCGTGCGGGCTCGCTCCAAGAGCTCCGTGTTTGGGGGGAATTCAGGGGGAATTGGGCCTCGAGAGAGGCCGCGGACGCTGCAGACGGTGCTGGGGAATGAAGGGGCTGGGGGGGGGGGGGGGGGTGATCCTGAGCTGTGGGGCTGCATCCTTGGAGCCTTGGCTCCGGGTTCTGTGCCAGCACCCCATTGCTGGCAGTGCTCAAGGCCAGGTTGGACACAGGGGCTTGGAGGAAGCTGCTCCAGTGGAAGGGGTCCCTGCCCGGGGCAGGGGTTGGAGCAGAATGGGCTTTAAGCTCCCTTCCAACCCAAACCACTCTGTGGTTCTGTGAGCAATGGAGTGATGGGAGGATGATGTGGGACGCCTCTGGAGGTGGGCATCCATCTGCCCCATAGCCTTGCCCCAGGCTATCCCAGTGGGATACACGGCACCAGGTGATTTGGGGCTGCAGGATGTTGGTGCCAGCATCCCTTAGGATTCCAGTATCCGGGCACCCAGCAAAAGCCGGGCTGGGCATCTGCATTCCCTTTCTGGCACCTTGAGGTAGCCCCAGGCTCCCCTGGTTCCCTGTACCCATCCGATCCTGGCCAGGACCCAGATCCAAGACAGGATCTAAGCAGCTTGATAAAGCCTCCAGTCCCTTTCCAAGCACCCACCAAACCCAGATCTGTGCCATGATCCCACTCATCCCTGTGCAATCCCTTTAATCCCAAGACACAATTAGCCTGGGTTAAACCCGGGTCTGAGGCTTCCATTGCAGTGGGAAGCAGATGGGGCTTGCAGGGTCCCACATCCCACCACGGTGCAGCCATGGGTTGGTGTTGGAGGCAGGCTGGGTGCTTTGGTTGGCACCCACCAAACTCTTGGTTACTGTACTCCTGGTTATCAGATCCCAGCTCAGGCAGGGACCAACTGTGTGGCTTTCCCAAAGCTGGGAAGGGTCTGGAATCAGTTGTCTGGATGGAAGAGGATGCGGTGCCCAAAAGATGCAACTGTGGCAGCTGCATTTTGCCATGGGTTAGTGGTGGCCTTGGCAACGTTGGGGTAAAGGTTGGACTTGATGAGCTTAAAGGGCTTTTCCAACCTGGCTGGTTCTATAGTTCCGTGCTAGAAGGTGCTTTGGTGATGGTGAGGATGTGGTGGCTAGAAGGTGCAGGACAACATCCCTAGAAGATGCTGTGCTTTGATGATCTCGAGGTGCAGCACTGGATACGGCTCAAGACGTGGTCACTAAAAGGTGCTGCCTTTGGTGATGGTGAGGATTGGTCCTTAGGAAGTGCAACGCCACGGTGATGGTGCAGGACAATGTCCCTCGAGGATGCCACACTTTGGTGATGGTGAGGACAGGAAGGTTCTGCGCCTCGCTGATGGTGCAGGATACGGTCTCTAGAAGGTGCTGTGCTCTGGTGATGGTGAAGACCTGGTCGCTACAAGATATACTTTGGTGATCTTGAGGACATGGGGGCCAGAAGGTGCGACACTATGGTGATGGCACAGGATGTGGTCCCTAAGAGGTGTTACAGGATGGCGATGGTGCAGGATGTGGTCCCTAAGAGGTGTTACATGGTGGCGATGGTGCAGGATGCGCTCACCAGAAGGTGATGGTGAGGACATGGTCATAAGGAGCTGCCATGCTCTAATGATGGTCCCACTGACCCCACCTTCCCCAGGGTGGTCTCAATCCCAGCAGGGATGGGGAAGCCACATTCCCATCCCGGATGCTGCATCCAGCTGGGAGCTGGTGGGGTCCGGGACCCTCCTGGTGCTCCTCCCAGCACCAGGAGCAAGACACCAATGGATACCAATGGGTTTGGTCATGTCCACCCGTGCCTCAGTTTCCCTGCTCCCGGGGGGGGGTGTCGGGAGGGATTCTCCATCCCGGCGCAGCAGGAAAGCCGCCGTGCTCCATTCCCAGCAGCCAAACACGTTCAGTTGGATCTTAAAGGAGCTTTGTGGGAGAAGTTCTCCTTTTTTCCCCCCAGTTTTCCCCCCTGGAGCTGGTTTGGGATGATGGGAATTGCGCCGGCGTCCCCACCAGCCACCACTGGGACCGGGGTTCCGGCACAGCCGGCTTTGGTCCGTGCTCCCGCCAGGGCAGACAGACCTTGACATGGAATCTCGCTTGGGAAGTGCTGGGAAGCCGCAAGCAGCCAAAGCTGCCACCCCCAGCGCGGGATTTCTCTTGCAAGCGGGTTTTTCCCTCCCCGGATCTCCACATCCCATTGGATTTAGGGCATTCCCAAGCACACAGAGCATCCCCCAGCACCGGGGACCCCCCAGATAATCCCTTTCCCGAGGAGCAGGGCTGAAAATCCCGGGCATGGAACCCCAAGTGACTGGGGGGGATCCAGACTCCCCCCCCCATGGCAGTGATTCAGACATTCCAGCATTTCTCATCCCCCCTCATGCTGCCCGCGGGATCTTTGAGGGTTTGGTCCTTGCAATTCCCGCTGGAAGCCCGGTTTTGGGGAGGTTTCTTCATTTTCCTGGGGTTTGGGTGGGTTTTTGAGCCAATTCCCGAGGACAACGAGCCGGGAGGGGGGGGGGCTGCTATAGGGAATGGAGACTGGAGGGGTCTGGGATCTGTGTCCCCTATTCCCTAATCCCTTTGCTTGTCCCCTCGGCCCCATCCAGACTCCGGCTGCATCCCGGCCCGCGCTGCCCCTCCATCGCTGCTGTCAGGATGAGAGCGCTCGGGCTCTTCCTGCTGTGTGTGCCAGGTGAGTGTCCCCAAGGCGAGGCGACCCCAGGAGCCACCCTTGGGCGCTGCAGCCATATGGGGCAAGCATCGCCCCATCGCCTCCTGCACCCCAAAACTAGCCCCAACCCTCAGTTTAGGCTCCTCTTTATGCTTCAGGGTGCGGGGTACCGGGGGTCTGGCACCAAGCGCATCCCTCCTGCTTGGGGACATGGAGGTGGCTGGGATAACAGCCAGAGAAGTGGTGATTGGTGACCCCCGGAGGGGCTGGCAAAGGCGGGATGGAAACAAGGAGGGAGGCGACGGAGCCGGGAGCCAGGAAAACTTTGGGTGAAACCAGCTCCACACAAAGGGTAGGGAGCAGATGGAAAACATTAAGCAGTTGAGGCCGAAGGAGCCTAGGAAGGAGGGGGCAGCATGGGGGAGAGTGGGCAGAGAAGATAAGTCCCATCCCAGCATCATTCCCACTGCTGATGGATGGAGGATAAGGAGGGATGCGGCATCTAGATAGACCATGGGGCATCCCTGCCCTGCCCTGGGGATGGGGGTGACCTGATCCCCGCTTCCAGCAGCACTCTGCCTGTGTGATCCCATCATCTCATGCACAGTGGCCTCTGAACACCACTTTCCCCCCTGGATCCGTGGCTGGATTAGCTCCCAGGGTCTCCATAAGGGTTATAGGGGATGCCCGGGGTGTCAGGAGCATCACTGGGGTCAGCTGGATGCAGGATGGGCAGGGTCCTGGTACCCAGGTGCTGCAAGACATTGGGATCATCCCCAGCTGTGCCTGGACAAGGCAGGAATCACAGCTCCCCCATCAGTGAGCATCCTACCTTCCTCTCCCTCCTCCTCTCCAGGCAGCGTGTCCCTAAGGACAGCTCTGGGATGGTATTTTGGGGGATGATGCAAAGGAGGAGAGGTGGAGGCAGAGCAGGGACCCCCCATTCGGGCTGGGGGTGCCTGTGCCCCTCTAAGTGATGCTTCCCCCCTGGCTCTTGCATCCCAGCAGCGCTCCTGGTCCAGGCGCAGTACAGCAGGTTTGAAGGCATCACCTACCCCGAGCCGGTGCAATATTCCCAGTACGACCAGCAATCAGGTTAGAGCTCCCTGACCCGGGAGAGGCTTCACCCACCTCCCTCCTGCTCCTTTTCCTCCCTCTTTTTGCTTCCTCTGGCTAACGCCACCAATCTGATGCCTCTTCAATGCTCTTTGCTCCATCCCTTTCCTCCTGACACTTCCAGCCTCCTCCCAACCCACTCCCACCTCTCTCCTTGTAGATGTTCTTCTCCTGTCCCCTTCTACCAACTATTCATTAAGGCTTTATTTTTACCCCCCTGCCGTGGGATGTTGCCCCATTCCTGGGGTGGCTGGGGGGGGTTCTCCCATCACTCAGACTGGCTGCAGATACGGGGGGGGGGGGATCATGGCTCAACTGGCCCTGATGGGGGGTGTTTTGTCCCTAAATCCCACCCTCAGCCCCTGCTGTTTTCCGTTTTATTCCCCAGAAATTCAGGATTACTACGACTATCACGGTAAGTGGTTTCCCTGCGGGACGGCGGATGGGGGGGAGCAGGATTTTGGGGGGTGCCCGCACTGTCCCTCTCCCTGCAGATGTCACCCCCCGTGCCCCTGAGGAGCAGTTTCGGTACCAGTCCCAGCAGCAATCCCAGCAGGAAGTCGTGCCGGCTCCAACCCCAGGTGGGTACCACCATAAGGATGCTCCAGCCCCAAAACCCAGGCAAAGATGCTCTGCTCCATCCCTAAATGTCGTGTCCGTCTGTCCCGTGTCCCCCCCATTCAATCTCCCCACAGCTGCTGTCCCCGAGACTGAGCCCACGGAGCCAGGACCCCTTGGTGAGTCCTTGTCCCCCCTCCCTGGTCCCCACCTGGGGGGGTTCATCCTGCCTTTCATCCCAGCTGGGGTAAGGATGCGCTTCCACTCTCACACCCCGGGTTGAAGATGAGGACTGGGAGAGCACTGGGTTAGAGTTGAGTGGAGGCTGAGCCCGTCCCCAGGGCGTCAGGCCTCATCCCTATGGATTTACCCTTTTCTCCTTGCAGACTGCCGGGAGGAGCAATACCCCTGCACCAGGCTCTACTCCGTGCACAAGCCCTGCAAGCAATGCCTGAATGAGATCTGCTTCTACAGGTGAGCAGGGATGGGAAGGGGGGGGGGGGAGCTTCCCTAACCCCTCTATTTTGGGGACCCCCCCGTTCACTGACACCAACCCCATAACCCCTTCATCCAGCCTCCGCCGGGTTTACGTGATCAACAAGGAGATCTGCGTCCGCACCGTGTGCGCCCACGAAGAGCTGCTGCGAGGTAAGGATGGGCTCATTCCCATCCCGATCCCCTTTATCCCACGGTGATGCGGGCTGGATAATCCCAACAACCCCACCAAATCGCACCCCATGGGCTGCATTATCGAAGGGGCTGCCCCCCCCCCCCCCCTTTGTGGGCTATGACATCCCAATGGGATGCGCGTTGTTTTCCCACCATTCCCGGCTGATTCCCCCTCTCCCGCAGCCGACCTGTGCCGGGACAAGTTCTCCAAGTGTGGGGTGATGGCCACCAGTGGGCTCTGCCAAACCGTCGTCGCCTCCTGCGCCCGCAGCTGCGGCGGCTGCTGAGCTCCGGGGCCCCCCCCCAATCACCGGGACCCCCCGAAACCCCCTTCCCCATCCCTGGATCCTGGTCTCCCGGGTCCCCGTCCCGCTCCGGAGCCTCCTCACATGGTGCTAACGAAACGGTGCATGAAAGAACATAAGAAAAGGTCCATTTTTGTGCACATAATAAGGAAAAAAAAGGGGGGGGGGTATTATTTTTATGACTTTCTTTATTATATTGTAAAAGGGGGGGCGGCGGCAGCCCCCGTCACCCCGTTTTCTATGTAGAGTATCCAAGAGATAAAGCGGAAGGGTCACTCGGCTCCAGACTCCTTACTGGGGGGGGGAACCTCGTATTTTGGAGTGGGGGGATCTGATTTATTTGAAGGAGGGGCTGGTTTTTGCAGGGGGGGTCCAATTTGATGGGGAGGGTTCAATTTTGGGGGAAAAGGCTCTGATTTGGGGGGATTTCTGATTATTTTGGGGGCATTCCTGATTTTTTTTTTTGGGGGGGGGGGGAATTTCTGATTCGAGGGACAGATTTCTGGTTGGATTTGTGATTTGATGGAGGATTTCTGATTTACTTGGAGGGGGTCCAATACTGGGATCGAAGGCTCGGAGTTTGGGGTGAATTGCTGATTTTGGGGTGAATTTCTGATTTTTGGGGAGGATTCCTGATTTTTTGGAGGATTTTCAATTTATTTTGGGGGTGTCCATTTTTGGGGGGGTGATGGCTCCAATATTGGGGTAAAGGGCTCTGATTTGGGGAGGATTTCTGCTCTTTTAGGGGCATTTCTGAATTTTTGGCAGGATTTCCAGGCTGGGGAGGGGAATTCCTGTATTTTGGCGGGGATGATCCAATTCTGGGGGCATTTCTGGTGTTTTGAGCAATCCCAACCCTGTGCACAGGAGGAAGGGCTGGGGGACGTGAGTTTGGGGTGCTTTAGGGCGTTTTGGAGCATATAAAATGAGTAATTTTGGGGGCGTTTGGTGGGAAACAGCACCACTTGGAGGGGGCTTGGTTTGGTATAGGTGTGTTTGGGGCACATTTCTGAGTCTCTTAGACCAAATAGGGGGTGTTTGGGGTTGATTTTGGGGTGCCATCAGTTCCCCTGGAGCAGGGTGGTGTGGGGGGGGGGTCTCTGTTTGGGTGTTTAGGGTTTGGGCTCCCCTATAGATGGAGGGTGGAGGTTGGGGTTCAGGTCACTTACAGGAACTAGTGTGGGCAGCTCTTCATGTATAGTGTGTAGGTCTTATATAGCATGCAGCTCTCATATATAGCACACAGCTCTTCATATACAGTGTGCAGCTCTCACATATAGCATGCAGCTCTCATATATAGCACATGCAGCTCTCATATATAGCATGAAGCTCTTCATATACAGTGTGTAGGTCTTATATAGCACGCAGCTCTCATATATAGCATGCAGCTCTCATTCACATTGAGAGTGTAGGTCTTATATAGCATGCAGCTCTCATATATAGCATGCAGCTCTTCATATATAGAGTGTAGGTCTTATATAGCATGCAGCTCTTCATATATAGTGTGTAGGTCTTATGTAGCATGCAGCTTTTCATATATAGCATGCAGCTCTTCATATATAGTGTGCAGTTCATATATAGCATACAGCTCTTTATATATAGTGTGCAGCTCTCATATATAGCATGCAGCTCTTCATATACAGTGTGTAGGTCTTATATATAGCATGCAGCTCTTCATATACAGTGTGTAGGTCTTATATAGCAGGCAGCTCTCATATATAGCATGCAGCTCTTCATATATAGTGTGCAGTTCATATATAGCATACAGCTCTTTATATATAGTGTGCACCTCTCTTATATGCCATGCAGCTCCTATATAGCATGTAGCCCTCTAACATAGCTTGCAGGTCTCATAGCATGCAGCTCATTTCTACAGTGCATAGGTCTCACACTGCATGCTGCTGTCTTATGCAGTGTGCAGTTCATCTATAGGGTGAGCTCTCTTACACAGTGGGTAGCTCTCAGATGTAGTGTGCAGCTCTCTTATTCAATGCATAGCTTGCTTATATAGCCTGTAGCTCGTATATGCGGTGTGCAGCTCATACACAGTTCATAGCTCTCACATCTAGTGTGTAGCTCATATATGCTCTTATATATAATCTAATATGCTCTCATATATAGTCTTACATATGCTCTTCTACAGTGTGTAGCTCTATTACACAGTGTGCAGCTCATACGTAGTGTGCAGCTCTTGTCTATACTGTGCAGCTCTCCTATGTAGTGTGCAGCTCTCCTGCAGTGCATAGCTCATGTACAGAGCATGCAGCTCAGAGCATACAGTTCTCCCACAGCACATATAGGATACAGTTCTAGAGCACGCCGTGCTCTTCCTTACGGTGCAGCTCTTACGCAGTGGGTCCATACAGCTCTTGTACAGCTCTCTCAGTGTGTGGTTCTCATATATAACATGCAGCTCTATACCGACCATACCCCTCTGTTGAGGAGCTCTGCAGGGTCAGAAGATCTCCCATAGTGTGTAGTTCTCTTACAGCACATAGCTCTTATGTAGAGTGCAGATCTTACACAGGCTGCAGGTCTCATATCATACAGAGCCCTATAGTGTGCCTCTCTCATGTAGGGTGCAGTTGGTCTATACTCCAATTCTTCTATAGAAATTAGTCCAGGGGGGTTCTGCATTGAGTTTTCTCTGTCGTTCTCCCCCATCCCATCCCATCCCATCCCATCCCATCCCATCCCATCCCATCCCTATCCCCATCCCCATCCCTATCCCTGCACAGCTCACGGCCTCAGAGGCACAAGGGATTCATCCTTCTTTGGGGCTCAATCTTCCCCAGAGGCTTAAAACAAGGAGAGGGAGGGCAGCAGCACCCCAGAGGATGCTGCTTAATGGCTCCAGTGCTTCTCTGCAGCTCCCCTCTAATGTGGGGGTGCTCATGGTAATAGTAACAATAATAATAGCAAAATATTAATTATTATTATTTATTAATGCATCTTATTATTTATTATTGATTATTATTACTTATTAAGGACCTGAATCAATCCCACTCTCCCAATGGACATCCCTTTGGGCATCCCAAAACACTGATGTCCCCCCAAAAATACACCCTGTTGGGCTTCCAATTTGGGGGTTCCACATTGAATAGGGACTGACCAGGATCAGGGCAGGGGGGTTTGGGTACCTGACCTCAGGCCATCCGGTAGCACCAGTAAAAACCTCAAACTCCAAAAATAGTGGTATAAAAATCCCTCTATTTGCTAAAAATCAGATCAAAAGCACCGACCTAGAGGAGTTTTTTGGTTAGAAAAAGGGGAAAATTAGGATCCAGTGAGTGCTGGGAATTGTGAAACATCACAGATTGGGGGGGCATTAATCAAGTAGCTTGGCTGGTGAAGGGACAGGGCTAAAAACCAGGAGTAATTCCAAACCTTTTGTTAAAAATAGCCATAAAAAAATGGGAAAACCCACCCGATTTGTATCAAAAATACACAAGTGTCATCTTGTTGGGAAAGTGCCAGAGAAGGGAATGATGAGACACAAACAGATGTGGGGTTTGAGCACGGGGATGGGGAATACTTCCTCCCTCATGTGTGCGATGAGTTGCGCCGGTCTCTGCGGGCGGCAGAGCATCACAGAGCAGTTTGGGTTGGAAGAGACCTTCAGAGCTCATCGAGTCCAACCGCCCTGCAACGAGCAGGGACATCTTCACCTAGAGCAGGCTGCCCAGAGCCACATCCCATGGATGGGTCCACGGAGGCTCCTTAGATGCTGGTGGGGTGACGGTGGAGCTCCTGCCCCTTCAGCAGCGCGATCTGGAAGGTGGGGTTGGGATGAGATGGGCACATGAGGCTGTACCCCCCCCCGGAGTGTCCCCCCCTCACCTGCTCCTCCAGGCCACGGATGCGGTGGTGATGGATGCGCTCCCGAGCCTCCAGCACCGGAGAGGGCCTGGAACTCGGTGGAGATGGGTGCTCCAGCGCCAGCGCCTGCATGGGGAGCGGTGGTGTCACCCCAGCCCCAGCCCAGGGCAAGCACCAGCATCTTTCCAACAGGGAATGAGCCCAAAGAGCCCAGCCACATCCTAGGGCAAGTACCAGCATCCCTGGGAAGCACCCCTAAAAGAGCCCAGCCCCATCCCCACAGAAGCACCACCATCTCCCCAGGGGGGAGGAAGTCCCCGAAAGAGCCCAGCACCATTCCAGGGCAAGCACCAGCATCTTCATAACCTGGGAAGCACCCCAGAAAGAGCCCAGCCCCATCCCAGTACAAGCACCAACACATCCCTTCATGCTGGGATGAGCCCAGCACTATCCCGAGGCAAGAACATCCTCTCCCCAAGTTGGAATAAGCCCCCAAAGGAATCCAGCACCATCCAAGTGCAAGTCTCAGCACCTTTCTTCATGATGGCATAAGCCCAGCACCCTCCCAGTACAAGCACCAGCACCTTCCCAGCCTGGAAGAAGCCCATAAAAGGCCCCAGCACCATCCCAGGGCAAGCACCAGCACCTCCCTTCATGCTGGGATGAGCCCAACATCATTGCAGAGCAAGCACCAGCATCTCCCCAGGCTGTGAAGCACCCCAAAAACAAGATCATCCCCATCCCAGGGCAAGCACCAGCACCTCCCTTTATGCTGGGATGAGCCCAGCATCAACCCAGAGCAAGCACCAGCATCTCCGCAGGCTGGGAAGAAACCCAAAAATAAGCCCAGTGCCATTCCAGGGCAAGCACCAGCATCTCCTTCATGCCTGGTTGCACCCAGCATCGTTGCAGAGCAAGCATCAGCATCTCCCCAGGCTGTGAAGCACCCCAAAGATGAGCCCAGACCCATCCTAGTACATGCACCAGTATCTCCCCAGGCTGGAAGAAGCCCATAAGAGGCCCCAGCATCATCCCAGGGCAGGCACCAACATCTCAGTTCAAGCTGGGATGAGCCCAGCATCGTTCCAGTGCAAGCACCACCATCGCCCCAGGCTGTGAAGCACCCCAAAAACAAGACCAGCCCCATCCCATTGCAAGCACCAGCACCTCCCTTCATGCCAGGATGAGTCCCCATCCCCACCCCGCTGCAAGCCACCAGTGGGGCCGGGGGCTCCACACCAAGCGGGTGGGCAGCACCCGCTGCATGGCACCCACCTGCAGCATGCGCACGCGCTGCTGCGCCTCCGCCAGCTCCTGCTGTGCTGCACGCAGGGAGCGGTGCAGCCGGCTCTGCTCCGCAGAGAGCCGCAGCGAGGACTCCTGTGCCTCCAGCTTCTCCCGCTCCACCTGCGGGGAATGCATGGGAATAGAGCAGTGAGACAGGTATTGGGACATGGGAATGGAGCAGTGAGACAGGTATAGGGACATGGGAATGGAGCAGTGAGAGATACAGGACATGGGAATGGAGCAGTGAGGGATACAGGACATGGGAATGGAGCTGTGAGAGATACAGGACATGGGAATAGAGCAGTGAGAGATACAGGACATGGGAATAGAGCAGTGAGGGATACAGGACATGGGAATGGAGCAGTGAGGGATACAGGACATGGGAATGGAGCAGTGAGGGATACAGGACATGGGAATGGAGCAGTGAGGGATACAGGACATGGGAATAGAGCAGTGAGGGATACAGGACATGGGAATGGAGCAGTGAGGGATACAGGACATGGGAATGGAGCTGTGAGAGATACAGGACATGGGAATGGAGCAGTGAGAGATACAGGACATGGGAATGGAGCTGTGAGAGATACAGGACATGGGAATGGAGCTGTGAGAGATACAGGACATGGGAATAGAGCAGTGAGGGATACAGGACATGGGAATAGAGCAGTGAGGGATACAGGACATGGGAATGGAGCTGTGAGAGATACAGGACATGGGAATGGAGCTGTGAGAGATACAGGACATGGGAATAGAGCAGTGAGACAGGTATTGGGACATGGGAATGGAGCAGTGAGAGATACAGGACATGGGAATAGAGCAGTGAGAGATACAGGACATGGGAATGGAGCAGTGAGAGATACAGGACATGGGAATAGAGCAGTGAGGGATACAGGACATGGGAATGGAGCTGTGAGAGATACAGGACATGGGAATGGAGCAGTGAGAGATACAGGACATGGGAATAGAGTAAATGAGAGATGCAGGACACGTAAAATACAGAAAATAACATATATAGTACATATGAAATACAGCAATTACATATAAATTTTATATAATATAAAATATAGCAGATTGACTAATATATAGGAGATTATACATATAGAATCACAGAATCATAGAATAGTCAGGGTTGGAAAGGACCTTAAGATCATCTAGATCCAACCCCCTGCCAGTTTGTATATAATATAAAATATAGTTGGTGATTGGTATCATATATTGCAGATAATATATGATATAAGCCACATAGACTCTATATACTATAAAATACAGCAGATTGCAGATTTAATGTTATATTTTATATGTGTATATATATTATACATACATTTTATATATACTCTCTATATATCCATATATAGTATATATACATATATATTAATGTAATGTATTATAGATGTATAATACTGTAGAGATCTATAATAATGTATATATCATTGCAATATAAAATAGAGATTATATATACTAGAGAGTAGATAATATATATAAAATAGAGCAGATAACACATAAAATATAGATTATAAATAATACAAAAATACATTACTTATATAATATATAGCAGATAATGTATATAATAAAATTGTAGCAGATTATATATATACACATGAGAATACATGGAATGGAACAGAATGGAATAGAGCAGACATGCGATAATACACATTATATAAAATACCACAGATTATATATATAAAATATGGTAGATTAAGACAGATATTTCACATATTTCATATATATAATACATACGTAAGTGCATACAGACCCTGTGCCTAGCACACAACATATATACAAAGCCCATTGCATATCTGTATAACGAGCTGGGGCTCGCGTTTGCCTTTGCTGCGCACCCAGCCCTGGCACATGGGTGCGTGTCCCGGCACCCCCATGGGTGCGATGCCCCCGAGGTGCCCCCTCACCTTGTCCAGGGTCTTCTTCAGGGCACCCTTGTCCTTCTCGAGGCGCAGGGCAAGGCGCTCGGCCTCCCGCCGCTCCCGCTGCGAGCGGGCCAGGGCCTGCTGCAGGCTGCTCACCCGCTGCTGCAGCCCCCCCTGCTGCTCCTGCAGCCCCCCGTGCTCCTCCTGCTGCCGCTGCAGCAGCGCCTGCGGGCCGGGAGCATGGCCATGGGCACGGGGAAAGGGATGCTGGGCTCTGGGGCGTTCCAGAGGGTAAGCAAGGGGAGGGGGAAGGGATGCTGCACGGGGGCAATAGGGTGCTGGGATGAGCAGCACCCCTTCCCTCCTTTCCTGGAGGGGTTCAAGAGGGTTCTAGGGCTCTAGAGGAGTCCACAGGGCGATGCAAGGGGGGACAAAAGGTGCTGTATGGGAGGGCAAAGGGGTGTAGGGTGCTGCGTGGTAGGGTTAAAGAATGCAGGGAGCTGTATGGGACAATAGGGTGCTGCATGGGGAGGTTAAAGGGTGTATAGGGGAAAAGGGTGCTGGGGCTTTAGAGGGGTTCATAGGGTCATGCAAGGGTGGCGATGCAAAGGATGCTGCATGGGGTGGGGCAATAGGCGCTGCATGGGGTCAAAACAGGCTGGATGGAGCAGGCAATGGAGCTGCACGGAGGCAAAGGACAGCGAACGTGGGGAACCCAGCATGGAGGGGAGCCCCCCCCCCCGGCCCTCACCTCCTGTTGCTGCTGGATCTGCGCCTCCAGCTCATCCCTGCCCCGCTGCAGCTCCTCCCGCTCCTGCCGCAGCTCCTGCAGCTGCTCCCGCAGCGCCGCCTTCTCCTCCCTTGCCTCGGCCAGCGCCCGCCGCGCCACCTCCAGCCCCTCCTGCAGCGTAAGGACACGGCAGTGACCCCCCAACTCCCCGGCACCCGCACCCCGCGGGTACCCGCACCCAAGGGTGCTCACCCCACCTGCAGCGCCCGGCGGTCCTGCTCGCCCGCGGCCAGCGCGCTCCGCAGCTGCAGCAGCCGCTCGTGGACCACGGCGCCATCGGCCGCAGCCGCAGCAGCATCCTTGGAGCCGGTGTCCGTCAGGGCCGTGCTCAGGCGCTGCATCGCCTGCTGCAAGGTGCCGGCGCGGTGCTCGCTGTCTGCCAGCTACAGCCAAAACACCGAGAGCAGTGAATGCACCGGTTAACGTTCATCTGTGCCATGGGGATTGAGAGGAACTGATGAGGAAGCCAAGTGTAAGGTCCTGCATATGGGTCGGAGCAGCTCCAGGCACAGCTCCAGGCTGGGGGAGATTGGATGGAGCAGCCCTGAGAAGGACTTGGGGTGTTGGTCAGTGAGAAGCTCCCCATGACCCGGCTTCAGTGAGTGCTTGAGCCCAGAACCCCCCTGTGCTGGGCTGCACCCCCAGAGCGTGAGCAGCAGCTCAGGGAGGGGATCCTGCCCCTCTGCTGTGCTCTGGGGAGAACCCCCGCTGCAGCCCTGATCCAGCTCTGGGGCAGCAGCACAAGAGGGACGTGGAGCTGCTGGAGCGAGGCCAGAGGAGGCCATGGAGATGCTGCGAGGGCTGGAGCAGCTCTGCTCTGGAGCCAGGCTGGGAGAGCTGGGCTGGGGCAGCCTGGAGAAGAGAAGGCTCCTGAAGGGGAGACCTGAGAGCAGCTCCAGTGCCTGAAGGGGCTGCAGGAAAGCTGGAGAGGGGCTTGGGACAAGGGATGTAGGGACAGGCCAAGGGGAATGGCTTTAACCTGCCCGAGGGGAGACTGAGATGAGCTCTTAGGCAGAAGCTCTTCCCTGTGAGGGTGCTGAGGTGCTGGCACAGGGTGCCCAGAGAAGCTGTGGCTGCCCCATCCCTGGCAGTGTTCAAGGCCAGGTTGGACACAGGGGCTTGGAGCAAGCTGCTCTAGTGGAAGGGGTCCCTGCCTGCGGCAGGGGTTGGAGCTGGATGAGCTTTAAGGTCCCTTCCAACCCAAACCTGTGATTCTATTCAACTCTATGTCCCTGTTGGATACCTGTTTCTGCAGCAGCTCAGCATGATCCTGCATCGCCTGCACCTCCGCCTGCCGCTCCCCCAGGGCCGTGCGTGCGCGCTGCAGCTCACCCTCCAGCACCTTCTGCTGCAGCTCCAGGCGCGAGCTCCTGCTCTCGGCCACCTCCAACCTCCTCTTGGCATCCTTGAGCTCTCCGGCTCGCTCCGCGCTCACCCTCTCCTGCAGGATGGCGCGCTCAGGGATGGGGATGCAGGGCAGGATGCAGCCCGCACGGCGATGCTCACCTGCATGGCGCGGCGCTCGCCCTCGGCAGCGCGGAGGCTCTGCTGCAGCGCAGCCACCTTGTCCTGCAGCGCCCGGCGCTCCCGCTCGCCCCGCGCCAGCGTCTCCTCCTGCAGCAGCAGCGCTGCCTGCGCGCTGCTCAGCTCCCCGCCGCTGCGGCGTCCTGCAGGGATGCAGGGCAGGGGTTACCCATTGCATTGGGATCGATGGAAGGTGCACGGGGGGGGGGGGGGGGGTGTCACCAGTTTTAGTGGGGATGCAGGGATCTATAGGGATGCACAGGGGGATTTACCCATTTTTCTGGGGTTCACAGGGATGCAAAGGGGTTTATCGGGGTTTATAGGGGATGCACAAGGGGGTTTACCCATTTTCTTGGATTTATGAAGGATGCACAGGGGATTTTACCCATTTTGTTGTGATTTATGGGGGATGCACACGGGTTTACCCATTTTGGGGGGAATTTACAGAGTCTGCAAAGAGGGTTTTACCAGCTTTAATGGGCTTTACAGGGATGCAGGGGGGTTTACAAGGATTTATGGGGGATGCACGGGGGTTCAACCACTTTCAGTGGGGTTTAGAGGGATGCATGGGAGCTTTTACCACTTTACTGGGGTTTAAAGGGGATGCAGGGTCGGTACTGGGATCTACGGGGGACGCACAAGGATTTTATCCATTTTATTGAGATTTAAGGAGTCTGCACAGGGAGTTTTACCGGCTTTGCTGGGGTTTACAGGGATGCAGGGGGGTTGTTCTGGGATTTATGGAGGCTGCAGAGGGGGTTTACCAGTTTCTGTGGGTTTTACACTGATGCATGGGGGCTTTTACCACTTTTACTGGGGTTCAAAGGGGATACAGGGGCAGTTTCACCAGGGTTTACTGGGCAGGCATTGGGGTTTTACCAGGGTTCATGGGGTTTCCAGGGGGGGACAGACCAATTGTACCAGGATTTTGAGGCTGTGCATGGAGGAAATCCCACCCATTCATCACCCTCCCTGTGCCTCAGTTTCCCCACTCATTGGTGAGGCTCCAGCATGGAACAGATCACCCCAAACCCCACAATTCAGAGGGGATTCCTCCCCTCCAAAACCCCATCTCCCCCATCACCTTCCTCACTCTCATCCACCAGCTTCTGGAGCTGCTGCATCCGGGCACTGGTGCTGTCCCGCTGCTCCTCTGCCTCCGCCAGCCGCCGGCCCAGGCTGCCCACCTGCACCCGCAGCTCCTCCTGCGGCAAGAAAATGGGGTGAAAAAGGGGCTTTTTGGGTGCGATGGGGAAGGGAAGGGGAGGAAAGGGAAGCGGGGATGGTACCCGCTCCCGCTGCGCATCCTGCAGCTCCCGCAGGAAGTCCCGCAGCGCTGCCCGCACCGCCTCGGGCTCGGATGCTGCATCGGGGTCCAGGGATGAGCCGGGGCTCAATGACCCCTCCAGTCCCCCACCTGTATGGGGACAAACAGGGTAGCATGGGGACAACGGGGGCAGCACCCAAGGGAGGGTGGCAAGCCGGAGTTGGATGTGCCACAGTGGGATGCACCCATGGGATACAGGGGTGTAAGAGATGGGTCCCCCATCACCCCGCTGCTCCAAGGGATGAAGCAATGGGGTATAGGAAACCCCAGGAATGTAGGAGATGGAACAATGGGGTGAGAGGGGAACACCAGGAATGGAGCAATGGGTCCTGGGGGATCCCAGGGATGCAGAGGATGGGGCAATGGGGTGATGAGGGACTCCAAGGATGAAGAAATGGGGTATGGGAGACCCCCAGGATTGGAGGGGACACAGCAAGTGTGATGGCGTGAAAGGGATGGAGCACCTGATGATGGAGATAGAGGAGATGGGGTGTAATGGGAAAGGTGTTATGGGAACCCCCAGGGATGAAGCAATGGAGCACAGGGAACCCCAAGGAAGCAGGGGATGGAGTTATAGGGTGATTGGGGAACCTCCAGAGATTCAGCGGATGGAGCAGTGGAGAATAGGAGACTCCCAAGAATGAAGTAATGAGGTATGGAGGACCCCAGAGATGCAGTAAACACAGCAACAGAATGATGGAGATGCAGGTGATGGAGCAACAGCATGAAGGGGATGCAGAGGATAGAGCAACAGGGTGATAGGGATGAAGAGGATGGAGCAAGAGGGCAATGGGGAAGGAGCAACAGGGTGATAGGGATGAAGAGGATGGAGCAACAGGGCAATGGGGAAGAAGCAACAGGGTGATAGGGATGAAGAAGATGGAGCAACAGGGCAATGGGGAAAGAGCAACAGGGTGATAGGGATGAAGAAGATGGAGCAACAGGGTGAGAGGGATGAAGAAGATGGAGCAACAGGGCAACAGGGATGCAGGGGATGGAGCAACAGTGTGATGGGGATGCAGGGGATGGAGCAACAGTGTGATGGGGATGCAGGGGATGGAGCAACAGTGTGATGGGGATGCAGAGCTGGAACAATGGGACATGGGGAACCCCCTGGGATGCTGGGGATGGAGCACTGCAGCAGGATGCACTGCAGCAGGATGCACCCCTCTCCCCTATAAGCAAGGTACGAAGCAGCGGGGGTCCCCGGAGCCCCTCACCCTTGCCGGGGGAGCCGGCCCGAGCGCGGCCGATGCCCATGGTGCGGCGCAGGGCGGACTGGATGCCCCCCAGGCGGGTCTCGGTGGCCCGGCGCAGCTCCTCGCCACGCGCCAGCTCCGCTTCCAGCCCCTGCGCCCGGCCCTCGGCCGCGCTCAGGCGCAGGCTCAGCTCGGCCGCTTCGCCCCGCGCCGCTTCCACCTTCAGCTGCAGGTTGCGGGCATCGGCCAAGAGCTTCTTCTCATTGCCTCGAGCCTCCTCCAGGCTGCGGGCCAGGTCCTTCTCCCGCTGCCGGAACTCGGCCTCCACCTCCGAGAGCCGCTGCTGCAGGTGCTGGAGCTGCGGAACACGGGTGGAGATGGGGCGATGGGGAGAGGAGAGTGATGGGGTGCAAGGGGTGGGGTAATGGCATGATAGGGAACCCCCAGGGATGCAGAGAACACAGCGAGAGGGTGGGGATGCAGGGGATGGAGTAATGAGGTGATGGGGAAGCCCCAAGGATGCGGGGCACACAGCAGCGACGTGGAGATGCAGGGGATGGAGCAATTGGGGTGATTGGAACCCCCAGGGATGGAGCAATTGGGGTGATGGGAACCCCCAGGGATGGAGCAATGGGGTGATGGGGGACCACCAAGGAAGCAGGAGACACAGCAGCAAGGTTGAGATGCAGGGGATGGAGCAGTGGAGTGACAAGGACCTCCAGGGATGGAGCAATGGGGTGATGGGGGTGCAGCAGTTGGAGTACAGGATAACAGAGATGGAGGAGATGGAGAGATGGAGCAATGGGGTGATGGGGGAACCCCAGGGATACAGAGGATAGAGCAATGGGTGATGGGGATGGAGGGCATGGAGGGGATGGAGTAATGGGTGATGGGGGCCCCAAGGGATAGAGCAATGAGGTGTAAGAAACCCAGGGATGCAGGACGGAGTGGTGGGGTGATGGAGACACCCAGGGACACTAGACCCAGAGTCAGGAGACAATGGGATTGCAAGACACAAACCAATGGAGGATGCAAGGGACCTCAGGGGACACAGGGCAGAGAGCAAAGGGTGATGGTGACATCAGAGACTGAGCGATGGGATAATGGGGACACCCAGGGGCATGGCATCAAACAGAACAGTGGAGACACCGAGGGACGCAGTATGCCAGCTTTGGGGTAATGGAGATGCTTGGGGACCACAGGCACTGAGTTATGGGGGGAGGAGACAGGGACACTGGATAGGCTGGGCACGGAGCTGTGGGGTGATGGGGACACAGAGCACTGAGAAACAGGGTTCTGGGGACACTCCCCATACACAATCACCTCCTTCCTGGCAGCCTCCGTCCCGGCCTCGCTCTCTGCCACCTTCTGCCTGAGGCCGAAGGCTTCGCGGCGGCTCTCCTGCTCCCGCTGCTCCTCCAGGGCCATGCGCGCCTGCAGCTCGCCCAGCTCCCTGCTCCTCCGGCTGTTCTCACCGTCCAGGTCCTTCACCTGCCCACGGAGCGCAGGGGCACGGTGTGGGGACACCCGAAATGGATGAAGCGGGGGGGTTCTCACCCTCCTCCTCTTCCTCCTCCTCACCTGGCGGCGCAGCTCCTGCAGCTCCCGGCGCGCATCCAGGCGGGCTCGCTCCAGCTCCCGCAGCGCCGCCCGCAGCTCGCTCACTTCCCGCTCCGCAGCCGCCCGCCCGTCCTCCAGCAGCGCCAGGCGCTGCTCCTTCTCCTCACCGGCACGTTTCAGGCTGCGGGCGAGGGGAGACAGGGCCGGGTCACCCACAGGGGCACTGCAGTGCCCCGAGCACCGCCCTGTCCTCAGCATCCCGCTCCAAGCCATCCCCATCCTCCAGCATCCCTCTGGTTTGGATGCTCCTCCCCAGCTACCACCCCATCAGGGCAGCCTCCACCCTGAGCGCTGCCACCCTGAACACAGAATCCCAGCCTGGTTTGGGTTGGAAAGGACCTCAAAGCTCCTCCAGCTCCAACCCCTGCCACGGGCAGGGACCCCTTCCACTGGAGCAGCTTGCTCCAAGCCCCTGTGTCCAACCTGGCCTTGAACACTGCCAGGGATGGGGCAGCCACAGCTTCTCTGGGCACCCTGTGCCAGCGCCTCAGCACCCTCACAGGGAAGAGCTTCTGCCTAAGAGCTCATCTCAGTCTCCCCTCTGGCAGGTTAAAATCATTCCCCTTGGCCTGTCCCTACAGGCCCTTCTCCAAAGCCCCTCTACAGGTTTCTCTTTCCCCTAAAAAGTCCCTCTAAGGCACTGCCCCACCCCAAACACTGCTCACCTCGAGCAACCCCTGTAGTGAGCATCTTGCTCCAGTGAATCCTGTCCTTAGGCATCCCTCCCCATGCCCAAACTTCCATCTCCTTGTCCCCAAACACCACCCTGACCTGGAGCACCACCCTCCAAGGGATTGGACTAACCCATAGATTTCCCAACCTGAGCACCCCTGTGTCCCAAGCATTACCCCAATCACAGACATCGTTTGCCAAGGCAACACATCACCCCGAGTATCTCCTAACTGGAGCATCCCCTTGTCCTGAGCATCATCCCAACAGCAAGCACCACCCTCCAAGGTGCTGCATCACCCCCTGCATCTCCCAGCTTGGGAGCACCCTTCTCCCAACCATCACCCCAACCCTGAGCACTCAAAACACTGCATCACTGCATGCATCCCATGACCCCAAGCATTGCACCATCTCCTACATCTCCCAACTTGAGCAGCCCCTTGCCCAACCATCACCCCAACCCTGAGCACCCAAAATATGGTGCTACCCCAAGCATTGCCCTGACCCTGAGCATTGCACCACCTCCTGTATCTCCAAACTTCGGTATCCCCTTGTCCTAAGCATCACCCAGACTCTGAGCATCACCCAAACACCTCCTTGTCCTGCATATTACCCCGACCCCAGTCACCACCCCAACTCCTGCATCTCCCAACTTGAGCAGCCCCTTGTCCTGCACATCACCCCAACACTGAGCACCCAAAACACTGCACTATCCCAAGCACTGCCCTGACCCTGAGCATCGCACCACCTCCTGTACCTCCCAACTTAGGTATCCCCTTGTCCTAAGCATCACCCTGACCCTGAGTATCACCCCAACCTGACCATCACTCCAACCCCAGCACCCAAAACATTGTACTACCCCAAACGTTGCCCTTACTCCGAGCATTGCCCCACCTCCTGTATCTCCCAACTTTCGTACCCCTTGTCCTGCACACGACCCCGACCCTGCGCATCACCCTAACCTGGGCAGCCCCTTGTCCTTCACATCACCCCGACCCTCAGCATCACCCCAGCTCCTGCCTCTCCCCCCCTCGAGCACCCCTTGCCCCTCACCTGATGCGCTCGCCCTCTGCGCGGCGCAGCGCCGCCCGCAGCTCCTCGTTGGACCTCCGCAGCGCCTCCTTCTCCCTCGCCTCGTCCCCCAGCGCCCTGCGCGCCTCCTGCGCCTGCCGCCGCTGCGCTTCCCGGCCTTCCCGGCTCTCCCGGGCCTCCCGCTGCGCCTGCAGCAGCTCCCGCCGCCCCGCAGCCCGCGCCTCCGCCACCAGCCGCAGCTGCGCCCGCGCATCCTCCGCCTGCGCCGGGGCGGGAGCGGGGTGTTAGGGGCTGGGGTATTGGGGGCGGTGGGAAGGGGTCGGGGGGGTTCACCTCCCGCAGGGCTCCATCCCGCTGCTTGGCGGCTGCTGTCACTTGGTCACGGAGGGTTTTCGCCTCCCGCTCGTGCGTCGCCGCTGTCTCCTCTGCCTGCGCCCGCAAGGTGCGCAGCTCCGCTGCCAGGCTCTGCATGGGGGGGGCACAGCACCCTGAGCACCCCTGCCCCGCTTGTTTAGGATCCCGGGGGAATTGTGATGGGGATGGTGCGGGGATGGGGAACCTCGGGTACCGCACCCGAGCATCCCCATCGCCCAGGAGGCTTGCAAGGGGAAAATGGGGGCCTCGCAATGGAGAGCCTGAAAGATGGGGGGACACTGCGGGAGCTGCAAGATGGGGGGGGTGTTCTTGGAATGGAGGGGGTGAGCCTTGGGAAGTGGGGTTTGCAATAAGGGGGATGGCCAGGAATGGGGGATACCCAGGCATGGGGGTTTGCAATGCTGTAATGGGGGGGGGCATGGGGGAACTGCAATGATGGGGATATATGGGACACCCAGATACGGGGGGGTGTAATGGGGGAGCCATAGGAGACACCCAGGCATGGGGGAGTGGCAGTAGGGGGACACAGGGGACATCCAGTGATGGGTGCTGCAATGGAAGGGGATGCTTAGGCATAGGCAGTTGCACGGAGAGGGGACAGCCAGACATGGGCCTGCAGTAGGGGCCATGTGGGGCTCTGCGCCACCATGGCGGGGGGGTCCCAGGACCTTCCACACCCACCTCCTCCTTCTCCTGGTGGCTGGAGACCTCCCGGCGCTGCTGCTCGAGCTCAGCCGTGGCCTCGGCCAGGCCCCGCTGAAGCCGCTGCAGTGCCTCAGCCAGGGCAGCCCTCTCCTCCTCCTGCAGCGCCAGTGCCTGTGAGGACAAGGATCAGCCCCGGCGGGGACACGGATCAGCCCGGGGGGACACCGGGGCTCAGGCTGGGGGGACATGGGGACACCCACCTGCTGCTTCTCGTTCTCATGCTGCTGCCGCATCGACGCCAGCTCAGCTGCCAGCACCTCCTGATCCCGAGAGAGCCGGACCCGCTCGGCTTCCAGCTCCTCCTGAACCCAACACGAGCAGTGAACCCAACACCAACAGTGAACCCAACACCAACAGTGAGCCCAACACCAACAGTGAACCCAACACCAACAGTGAACCCAACACCAACAGTGAACCCAACAGCAACAGTGAACCCAACCCCAAGTGAGCCCAACCCCAACAGTGAGCCCAACCCCAACAGTGAACCCAACACCAAGTGAGCCCAACACCAACAGTGAGCCCAACCCCAACAGTGAGCCCAACACCAACAGTGACCCCAACACCAAGAGTGAACCCAACACCAACAGTGAGCCCAACACCAACAGTGAACCCAACACCAACAGGGAGCCCAACACCAACAGGGAGCCCAACACCAACAGTGAACCCAACACCAACAGTGAACCCAACACCAACGGTGAGGCCAAACCAACGGTGAGCCCAACCCCAAGTGAGCCCAACCCCAAGTGAGCCCAACACCAACAGTGAACCCAAACCAACAGTGAACCCAAACCAACAGTGAACCCAAACCAACAGCGAGCCCAAACCAACAGTGAGCCCAAAACCAACAGTGAGCCCAAACCAACAGTGAGCCCAAACCAACAGTGAGCCCAACCCCAACAGTGAGCCCAACACCAACAGTGAGCCCAAACCAACAGTGAGCCCAACCCCAACAGTGAGCCCAAACCAACAGTGAGCCCAACCCCAACGGTGAGCCCAACCCCAACGGTGAACCCAACCCCAACAGTGAACCCAACCCCAAGTGAACCCAACACCAACAGTGAACCCAACACCAACAGTGAGCCCAAACCAACAGTGAGCCCAACCCCAACAGTGAGCCCAAACCAACAGTGAGCCCAACCCCAACAGTGAGCCCAGCACCAACAGTGAGCCCAAACCAACAGTGAGCCCAAACCAACAGTGAGTCCAACCCCAACAGTGAACCCAACCCCAACAGTGAACCCAAAGCAACAGTGAACCCAACACCAACAGTGAACCCAACACCAACAGTGAGCTCAACCCCAGCAGTGAACCCAACCCCAACAGTGAACCCAACACCAACAGTGAACCTCCCAAAGCAGTGAAACTCCAAAAATCAGTGAACCCCAAAGTCACCAGCAACCCCCTAAAATCAGCAACTTTGCACCCCAAGAATAATCACTGCACCCCAAAAATCATCATTGCACCCCAAAAATCAGCATCGCACCACCAACATCAGCATTATGTCTCAAGAATAAGCGCAGTACCCCAAAAATTCCCCATCCCCCCAAACTCTACACCCCTGTCCCAACCCCACTGCGCTCACCTTCTCATGCTGCAGGCGGTCGAGCTCGGCGCGGTGCCCATCGCGGGCGCGCTGCAGGGCCACGGTCACCGCCGTGGTCTCAGCTGCGGCCACGGCCTCACGCCGGCTCTGCAGCTCCCGCTCCCGGTCCAGCCGTGCGGCGCCCAGCTCCGCTGCAGGGCACCCATCAGTGGGGTGTCAGTGGGGACACCCCGGGGTGTGGGGGGACAGGAGCAGGGTCACAGGGGGACAAATGGTGGTGGAGAAGAGCTTGTCATGGCCCTGCTGCAGGTGGATGAGGATGGAAGAGGATGAGGATGGGGATGGACAAGAGTGAAGACGGGGGATGGACAGCAATAAAGATGGTGGATGGATGGAGATGAAAGTGGGGATAAGAATACAGATAGAGTACAGATGGATGGTGTTGGAGATGAGGATAAACATAGGAAGGACAGGGATGAGGATGATGATGGGGAATGAATGGGAATGAGGATGAAGATGATGATGGGGAATGAATAGGGATGTCACTGGAGATGACGATGAAGACTGGGATTAAGATGGGGATAGTGTTGGAGATGAGGATGAAGATAGGGATGGACCGGGATAAGGATGGGGACTGAGATAAGGATGGAGATGGGGATGAATATGGGGACCAGGGATGAATATGAGGATCAGGGATGAGGATGGGGAAGAGGATGAAGATGGGAGGTGGAAGGGGATGAAGATGGTGGATGGATGGACGTGAAAGTGGAGATGAGGATACAGATGAAGTTTGAACAGGGATAGTGTTAGAGATGAGGATAAAGATGGGATGGACAGGGATGAGGATGGGGATGAAGAGAGTGATTGAGATGAGGATGGAGATGAGGATGTGGAAGATGAAGCAGGGGTAAAAGGACAGAAGGAGATGGCCGGGGTGATGGGGACAGGGACCTCTCACCCTCCAAAGCCTCCTTGGCCTGAAGCAGGCTCCGTCCCTCAGCCTCCAGCTGCTGGTTGCGGGCATCGAGCTGGGTGAGCTGCTGCTGCAGCTGGAAGATGCTGCTCTCCAGCCCCTCCTTCTCCGACCTGCCAGAACAGCACCAGTCCCAGTGCCCAGAGCCACACCAGCACCAGTCACACTGCTCAGAGCCACACCAGCACCAGTCACACTGCCCAGTGCCACACCAGCACCAGTCACACTGCCCAGAGCCACACCAGCACCAGTCACACTGCCCAGAGCCACACCAGCACCAGTCACAGTGCCCAGAGCCACACCAGCACCAGTCACACTGCCCAGAGCCACACCAGCACCAGTCACAGTGCCCAGAGCCACACCAGCACCAGTCACACTGCTCAGAGCCACACCAGCACCAGTCACAGTGCCCAGAGCCACACCAGCACCAGTCCCAGTGCTCAGAGCCACACCAGCACCAGTCACACTGCTCAGAGCCACACCAGCACCAGTCACAGTGCCCAGAGCCACACCAGCACCAGTCACACTGCCCAGTGCCACACCAGCACCAGTCACAGTGCCCAGAGCCACAACAGCACCAGTCACAGTGCTCAGAGCCACACCAGCACCAGTCACAGTGCCCAGAGCCACACCAGCACCAGTCACACTGCTCAGAGCCACACCAGCACCAGTCACACTGCCCAGAGCCACACCAGCACCAGTCACAGTGCCCAGAGCCACACCAGCACCAGTCACAGTGCTCAGAGCCACACCAGCACCAGTCACAGTGCCCAGAGCCACACCAGCACCAGTCACAGTGCCCAGAGCCACACCAGCACCAGTCACACTGCTCAGAGCCACACCAGCACCAGTCACAGTGCCCAGAGCCACACCAGCACCAGTCACAGTGCTCAGAGCCACACCAGCACCAGTCACAGTGGTCAGAGCCACACCAGCACCAGTCACAGTGCCCAGAGCCACAACAGCACCAGTCACAGTGGTCAGAGCCACACCAGCACCAGTCACAGTGCTCAGAGCCACAACAGCACCAGTCACAGTGCTCAGAGCCACACCAGCACCAGTCACAGTGCCCAGAGCCACACCAGCACCAGTCACAGTGCCCAGAGCCACACCAGCACCAGTCACACTGCCCAGAGCCACACCAGCACCAGTCACACTGCCCAGAGCCACACCAGCACCAGTCACAGTGCTCAGAGCCACACCAGCACCAGTCACAGTGCTCAGAGCCCAGCTACATGGCTGTGAGCACCGCTCACCCCGGTCCAGCACCCACCTGAGCCCGGCCGCCTCCTGGGCCCGATCCTGCCCGTGGCGCTGGGCAGCAGCGAGCTGCACGGCCAGGCTGGCTCCCTCCTTGGCCAGCCCCTCGCGGGCCCGGCTCAGCCGCAGCAGATCCCCCCGCAGCCGCTCCTGCTCTGCCCGTGCCTGGGCCAGCGCCTCGCCCGCCGCGCTCTGCTCCTGCACCGCCTGCAGCACAGCGATGGCACCGCTACCCCGTGTGTCCACAGCTACCCTGTGCACCCTCAGCATCCCTCCCAGTTGCCCTCTTCATCCTCCCTGTTCCCCCATGCACCCTTTCCTTCCCTCCCAGTTGCCCCATGCACTATTTCCACCCCCCCCCAGTCGCCTTGCCCACCATCCTGCTGGCCCCATGCACATTCCAAATCTCTCCCAGTTGTCTTTTGCACCCTTCTCATCCCTCCCAGTTGTCCCATGAACCATCCCAGTTGCTCATGCACCCTCTCTACCCCTCCCAAAAGCCCCATGCATGGTTCCCACTCTTCCCATTTATCCCTTGCACCATTCCAGTTCTCCCAGTTGTCCAACGCATCCTTCCAGTTACCCTGGCATCCTCCCCATCCCTCCCAGTTACCACATTCACCATCCCAGTGGCCCCCTGCACATCCCTCCCAGTTGCCCTGTGAACAATTCCAGTTATCCCTGCATTCTCCCCATCCCTCCCAGTTGCCACATTCACCATCCCAGCTGCCCTGTGAACAATTCCAGTTACCCCTGCACTCTCCCCATCCCTCCCAGTTACCACATTCACCATCCCAGTTGCCCCCTGCACATCCCTCCCAGTTGCCCTGTGAACAATTCCAGTTACCCCAGCGCTCTCCCCATCCCTCCCAGTTGCCCTGTGAACAATTCCAGTTACCCCTGCACTCTCCCCATCCCTCCCAGTTACCACATTCACCATCCCAGTTGCCCCCTGCACATCCCTCCCAGCTGCCCTGTGAACAATTCCAGTTACCCCAGCGCTCTCCCCATCCCTCCCAGTTGCCCTGTGAACAATTCCAGTTACCCCAGCACTCTCCCCATCCCTCCCGGTCACCGCGTTCACCACCCCACTTGCTTCCTGCACCTTCCACATCCCTCCCAGTTGCCCTGTGAACAATTTCAGTTATCCCTGCATTCTCCCCATCCCTCCCAGTTACCACATTCACCATCCCAGTTGCCCCCTGCACATCCCTCCCAGTTGCCCTGTGAACAAATCCAGTTACCCCTGCACTCTCCCCATCCCTCCCAGTTACCACATTCACCATCCCAGTGGCCCCCTGCACCCTGCACATCCCTCCCAGTTGCCCTGTGAACAATTCCAGTTACCCCTGCACTCTCCCCATGCCTCCCAGTTACCACATTCACCATCCCAGTGGCCCCCTGCACATCCCTACCAGCTGCCCTGTGAATGATTCCACTTACTCCTGCACTCTCCCCATCCCTCCCAGTTACAACATTCACCATTCCACTTATCCCTGGCATCCTCCTCATCCCTCCCAGTTGTCCTGTGAACAATTCCAGTTACCCCAGCGCTCTCCCCATCCCTCCCAGTTACAACATTCACCATCCCAATGGCCCCCTGCACATCCCTCCCAGTTGCCCTGTGAACAATTCCAGTTCCCCTGCACTCTCCCCATGCCTCCTGGTTACAACATTCACCATCCCACTTATCCCTGGCATCCTCCTCATCCCTCCCAGTTGCCCTGTGAACAATTCCAGTTACCCCAGCGCTCTCCCCATCCCTCCCAGTTACCACATTCACCATCCCAGTTGCCCCCTGCGCTCTCCCCATCCCTCCCAGTTGCCCTGTGAACAATTCCAGTTACCCCTGCACTCTCCCCATCCCTCCCAGTTACCACATTCACCATCCCAGTTACCCCTGGCATCCTCCCCATCCCTCCCAGCTGCCCTGTGAACAATTCCAGTTACCCCAGCGCTCTCCCCATCCCTCCCGGTTACCGCGTTCACCACCCCACTTGCTCCCTGCACCTTCCACATCCCTCCCAGTTGCCCCCAGTCCCTCCCTTCTCCCTCCCAGTTACCCGCAGCATCCCTCGCAGTCCCCCCCGCACCTGCCCGAGGTGCCGGCGCAGCCGCAGGTGCTGGTCGCGCAGCGCCCGCAGCTCGTCCCGCAGCCCCCCGCAGCGCTGCTCCTCCGCCGCCCTGCGCGCCCGCTGCAGGCGCAGCCGCTCCAGGGCCCCCGCGCGCTGCCCGCGCTCCAGCCGCTCCCGCAGCAGCGCCAGCTCCCGCCGCAGCTCCCGCACGCTGCCGCTGTCCCGCTCCGCCTCCAGCCGCGCCAGGCCCCGGCTCAGCTCCGCCTTGTCCCGCGCCAGCCCCGCCGCCAGCTCGCTCGTCTTGGCCAGCGCGTCCCGCAGCCGGGAGCCCTCGGCCTGCGCCTCCCGCAGCGCTGCCGACAGCGACCCGCAGCTCCCCTGCGCCTGCCGAGAGACCGCAGCTGAGGGCAGCATCTCCGTGCCCAGCGCTGATGGCAGCATCCCTGTGCCCAGCGCTGAGAATGGAGATGATGGCAGCATCCCTGTGCCCAGCGCTGAGAATTGAGATGATGGCAGCATCCCTGTGCCCAGCGCTGAGAATTGAGATGATGGCAGCATCCCTGTGCCCAGCGCTGAGAATGGAGCTGAGGGCAGCATCCCTGTGCCCAGCGCTGAGAATGGAGCTGATGGCAGCATCCCTGTGCCCAGCGCTGAGAATGGAGCTGATGGCAGCATCCCTGTGCCCAGCGCTGAGAATGGAGCTGATGGCAGCATCCCTGTGCCCAGCGCTGAGAATTGAGATGATGGCAGCATCCCTGTGCCCAGCGCTGAGAATGGAGCTGAGGGCAGCATCCCCGTGCCCAGCGCTGAGAGTGGAGCTGATGGGCTCTGCACCATCCCCGTGCCCAGCGCTGATGGCAGCATCCCTGTGCCCAGCGCTGAGAATTGAGATGATGGCAGCATCCCTGTGCCCAGCGCTGAGAATGGAGCTGAGGGCAGCATCCCCGTGCCCAGCGCTGAGAGTGGAGCTGATGGGCTCTGCACCATCCCCGTGCCCAGCGCTGAGAATGGAGCTGATGGCAGCATCCCTGTGCCCAGCACTGAGAATGGAGCTGATGGGCTCTGCACCATCCCTGTGCCCAGCACTGAGAATGGAGCTGATGGGCTCTGCATCATCCCTGTGCCCAGCACTGCGAATGGAGATGATGAGCTCTGCACCATCCCTGTGCCTAGCACTGCAAAGGGAGCTGATGGCAGCATCCCTGTGCCCAGCACTGAGAATGGAGCTGATGGCAGCATCCCTGTGCCCAGCAGTGTGAATGGAGCTGATGGCAGCATCCCTGTGCCCAGCACTGTGAACAGAGCTGATGGCAGCATCCCTGTGCCCAGCACTGAGAATGGAGCTGATGGCAGCATCCCTGTGCCCAGCACTGTGAATGGAGCTGATGGGTTCTGCACCACCCCTGTGCATGGAGCTGATGGGCTTTGCACCATCTCTGTGCCCAGCACTGTGACTGGAGCTGATGGGCTGTGCGCAGGCACCCGGGACATGAGGAGGAACCTGCTGCAGGGCTGAGCCTGTTGTTTGGGGGTCGCACCCACTGCATGGCCTAAGCCTGGTGCTTAGGGGTTGCACCCACTTCACTGGGGGAATAAGCCTGTTGCATGTAGGTTGCACTCACTGCACAGGGTTGCACCTGCTGCATGGCAAAGGTATGAGAGGAATGAGCCTGATGCACGGGGGGGTTGCCCCCGCTGCTTGGGGATGCACCCACTGCATGGCAACTGCAGACTGCGTGGGGGGCACCCACTGCAGCAGGTCACGGGGGTGTCAGGGACCCACCTTGCTCAGCGCCTCGGCCAGCGCCTCCCGCTCGCCCCGCGCCACCTCAGCCTCCAGCGCCGCCTGGCTCAGCGCCTCCCGTGCCTCCAGCAGCTCCTGCTGCACTGCTGCACGCTGCACATCCAGCTCCTCCAGCTGCTGCTGGCTGCGGCAAGGCAGGGGGCAGCACACACGGGGCATGCAGCATCCATCACTGCAGCACCCGCCACTGCAGCACCCACCGCTGCAGCACCCACTCAGGACAGGGGTTGCAGCACCCACTGTTATACAGCACCCACCCAGGATAGGGGTTACAGCACCCACTATTGCAGCACCCACCCAGGACAGGGGTTACAGCACCCACTGTTATACAGCACCCACTCAGGACAGGGGTTACAGCACCCACTGTTATACAGCACCCACTCAGGACAGGGGTTACAGCACCCACTATTGCAGCACCCACTCTAATACAGCACCAACCCAGGATAAAGGGTACAGCAACCACTATTGCAGCACCCACCCAGGACAGGGGGTGCAGTACCCACTACCGCAGCATGCACCCAGGACAGGGGTTACAGCACACACTATTGCAGCACCCACCCAGGAGAGGCGTTGCAGCACCCACTATTACACAGCACCCACTCAGGACAGTGGTTGCAGCACCCACTATCGCAGCATCCTCACAGGACAGGGGTTGCAGCACCCACCACTGCAGCACCCATATGCACAGGGGTATTGCAACACCCATTGCAGGGGTGGCAACACCCACCCTTGGGTGGAGGATGAGGCTGCAACACCCACTGCAGTTCTGCAGCACCCACTTGCTGAGGGTGCAGCCCCAGGTGAGGCACAGGCTGCAGCACCCCCTGTGTGTGTCCCATGTCCCTGTACCTGCGTTCCAGCTGCCCCCGGGCAGCCTCAGCAGCGCGGGCGGCCTCGTCCCGAGCATCCTCCAGCCCCTCGCTGCGGCGCTGCAGCTGCGCCCGCTCCTGCTGCAGGGCCTCTGCGCGCTGCTGCTCCCCTGCCAGAGCCTCCTCCGCACGCTGCCGATCCCTGCCGGACACATGGACATGGGGGGATGGATGGATGGACATGGCAGGGGTGGATGGGGCGATGCTCGCTGTGCCAGGATGGAGGGAGGGGCAGGAGTGAACGGGGACAGACGGAGAGATGTGAGAGATAAATGTGTAGGGATGGGTGCATGGATGGATGAGTGGGTGGGTGGATGGATGGATGGATGGATGGATGGATGGATGGGTGGGTGGGTGGGTGGATGGATGGATGGGTGGGTGAGGGGGTGGGTGGATGGATGGGCAGATGGATGGGTGGGTGGATGGATGGGTGGATGAGTGGACAGATGGATGGATGGATGGATGGATGGATGGATGAATGAATGAATGAATGAGTGGATGGATGGATGGGTGGGTGGGTGGGTGGATGGATGGATGGGTGGGTGAGGGGGTGGGTGGATGGATGGGCAGATGGATGGGTGGGTGGATGGATGGGTGGATGAGTGGACAGATGGATGGATGGATGGATGGATGGATGAATGAATGAATGAATGAGTGGATGGATGGGTGGGTGGGTGGGTGGGTGGGTGGATGGATGGATGGGTGGGTGAGGGGGTGGGTGGATGGATGGATGGGTGGGTGAGGGGGTGGGTGGATGGATGGCAGATGGATGGGTGGGTGGATGGATGGGTGGATGAGTGGACGGATGGATGGATGGATGGATGAGTGGATGGATGGATGGATGGGTGGATGGATGGATGGATGGGTGGATGGGTGGATGGGTGGATGGGTGGGTGGGTGGGTGGGTGGGTGGGTGGGTGGATGGATGGGTGGGTGGGTGGATGGATGGATGGATGGATGGATGGATGGATGGGTGGATGGGTGGGTGGGTGGATGGATGGGTGGGTGGGTGGGTGGATGGATGGATGGATGGATGGATGGATGGATGGATGGATGGATGGATGGATGGATGGATGGATGAGGGGGTGGGTGGATGGATGGGCAGATGGATGGGTGGGTGGATGGATGGGTGGATGAGTGGACAGATGGATGGATGGATGGATGGATGGATGGATGGATGGATGGATGGATGGATGGATGGATGGACGGACGGATGGATGAGTGGGTGGATGGATGGATGGATGGATGGATGGATGGATGGATGGATGGATGGGTGGATGGATGGGTGGACGGATGGGTGGACGGATGGATGGATGAGCGGGTGGATGGGTGGACAGGGAAGGATACACAGGGACAGACAGAAACATGTAGGGATGGATGGATGGGTGGACACAGGGCAGAACGCACAGGGACAAATGGACAGATAAAAACGTGTAGGGATGGATGGATGGATACACGGACAAGGCAGCATGCACAGGGACAGACAAACATAAACGTGTAGGCAGGGTTGGGTGGATGGACGGATGATGGGCATCCTGGCCAGGACGCAGGGGGATGGCTGCACAGGGATGGTCAGACACAGGGATGGCTGCACAGACAGCAGGTACCTGCGCAGGACCTCGGCCTCAGCACTGAGCTGCTCCAGCTGCCGCTGCAGCATCCCCACACGCCTCTCGCTGTCCCCCAGCTCCCGACGCAGGCTCCCGGCCAGCTCCCGGCTGGCATCTGCCTGGCCCCGGGCGTCCTGGATGGGGGGGAAAGAGGGGTGAGCATCACCATCACCATCATCATCAACAACATAGAACCACAGAGTCACAGACTGGTTCGAGGTGGAGTGCTCCAGGCCCCTGTGTCAAACCTGCCCTTGAACACTGCCAGGGATGGGGCAGCCACAGCTTCTCTGGGCACCCTGTGCCAGCACCTCAGCACCCTCACAGGGAAGAGCTTCTGCCTAAGAGCTCATCTCAGTCTCCCCTCTGGCAGGTTAAAGCCATTCCCCTTGGCCTGTCCCTACAGGCCCTTGCCCAAAGTCCCTCTCCAGCTTTCCTGCAGCCCCTTCAGGCACTGGAGCTGCTCTCAGGTCTCCCCTTCAGGAGCCTTCTCTTCTCCAGGCTGCCCCAGCCCAGCTCTCCCAGCCTGGCTCCAGAGCAGAGCTGCTCCAGCCCTCGCAGCATCTCCATGGCCTCCTCTGGCCTCGCTCCAGCAGCTCCAGGTCCCTCTTGTGCTGCTGCCCCAGAGCTGGATCAGGGCTGCAGGGGGGGTCTCCCCAGAGCACAGCAGAGGGGCAGGATCCCCTCCCTGAGCTGCTGCTCACGCTCTGGGGGTGCAGCCCAGCACAGGGGGGTTCTGGGCTCAAGCACTCACTGAAGCCAGGTCATGGGGAGCTTCTCACTGACCAGCACCCCCAGTCCTTCTCCTCAGGGCTGCTCCATCCCATCTCCCCCAGCCTGTGTTTGTGCTGGGAGTGCCCCAACCCCAGGCAGGACCTTGCCCTTGCCCTTGTTGATCTCGGTCCCACCTCCGCAGCCTCTCCAGGTCCTCATCACCACCCTCCTCCCGCAGCCACCCCTCACTCACCTGCAGCTGGAGCTGCCGGCGGCACAGGGCAGCGTGCACTGCAGCAGCAGCAGCGCTGGGCGAGAGGCTGCGGTGAGGGGACGTGGGGGGACATGGGGGGGACAGCGGGGGCTGCTCAGGGTCATCCGAGAGCACGGCCTGAGAGAGAGGGGAGAAACCCCCATGTCAGCGGGGGGAAACTGAGGCAAGGGGGGGGGGAATTGAGGCTTGAGGCTGGCGGGGCCGGGGTGTCCCCATCACCTGGGTGATGTCCTGCAGGGTCTGTTGGAGCAGCTCCACCTCCGAGCGCAGCGATTCCACCTCTGCTGGAGACGGATCCTGGGCACGTGCAGCCTCCTGCAACCCCCCCCGCATCACAGGCATGCATCAGGCACACGCAGCATGTGGTGCACCCCGGGGTGCACTGCACTCTGGCATGCACCGTGCTCTGGCAGCATCCTGCATCATCCCCAGCGTGCTTCATGGCTCAGCGTGCACTGTGCTGTGCTCCAGCACACATCACACCGTGGTGTGCAGCATGCATCATGCTCCAGCATGAAATAGAATCCCAGCCTGGTTTGGGATGGAAGCTCATCCAGCTCTCAGGTCTCCCCTTTAGGAGCCTTCTCTCCTCCAGGCTGACCCAGCCCAGCTCTCTCAGCCTGGCTCCGCACGCAACCTGCCCCAATGCACATCACACATCACATTGGCACTCCCAGCCCCAGTGCATCCCTGCACCCCCATGCCCCACACTCACCCCAGCACTCACCAAGCTCTGCAGCTGCAGCTTCAGCGCTTCCACCTCTCGCTCCTTCTCTGCATTCCCTTCCTGCAGCCTCTCCAGAGCCAGTGCCTGCTCCGACAGCCTGCACCAGGACATGGGGCAACACTGGGACATGGGGGAACACCGGGACATGGGGGCAACACCGGGACATGGGGGAACACCGGGACATGGGGGAACACCGGGACATGGGGGCAACACCGGGACATGGGGCAACACCGGGACATGGGGCAACACCGGGACATGGGGCAACACCGGGACATGGGGCAACACCGGGACATGGGGGAACATCGGGACATGGGGGCAACAATGGGACATGGGGGCAACAATGGGACATGGGGCAGCACCGGGACATGGGGGAACATCGGGACATGGGGGCAACAATGGGACATGGGGGCAACAATGGGACATGGGGCAGGACCAGGACATGGGGCAGGACCGTCCATGGGGCAGCACCAGGCCCCCCCACCAGCACCCCCCCACCCCGTGCCCCCAGACCCCTCGTACCGCGCTCCAAGCCCGGCTCTCTCCAGCTCCGCATCCCGCGCCCGCGCCGCCAACTGCTCCTGCAGCTGCCCCAGCCGCAGCTCCTGCTGCTCCCGCGCCGCTCCCGCCTGGCTCTCGGCCAGGCGCAGGTTGGCAGCGAGGTGCAGGCAGGCGGCATGGGCAGCCCTGCCCGCCCGAGAGGCCTCGTGGCTCAGCTCCGCCAGGTCCCTGTGCGGGGAGGCGCAGGATGGGACCCGGGACCCCTGCGCATCCGTGGGGATCGCCGTGAGCCCTCCCCGAGCGCCGCACTGACCGCTCCGTGGTGGCTTTCATCTCCCCAAAGTGCCTCCTGAAGGCCACCACCTGCCTCCAGAGCGTCAGGAGCCGGCTGTGCTCGTTGCTGAAGTAGGTGTTGAAGGTCTGTTATGGGGTGCAATGTGTTGGTGCTGACTGCGGTGGTGGGGTCCCTCCCCGTGCAGCCTCCTTGGTGGAGCATCCCCACCTCCCCTGGCCCCACATCCCTCGTCCTTTGGTCCCCAGATCTTCCTGCAACACCCCCATGGCCACAACCATCATCCCCATGGTGCTCTATAACCCCAACCCCAATTCCCTCCCACCCTGCAAGGCAAGGGTTGGGGGACTCATCCCATTCCACGCCACATCGCCTGCATCACCAAATTCTTCTCCATGCAACATCCCCCATGGTCCTACATTCCTCCTCGTAATCCGACATCCCTTTCCATGCCACATCCCTCCATCCTTGTGCCTTGCATCCCCTTCCCATCACATGCCCCATCTCCTGCACCCCCAAATTCTTCTCCATGCAACATTCCCCATGGTCCTGCATCCCTCCTGGTGGTCCCACATCCCTTTCTATGCCACATCCCTCCACCCCTGTGCCTTGCATCCCCTTCCCATCACATGCCACATCTCCTATAGCCCCAAACTATTCTCCATGCAACAACCCCACATCCTTCCCAGCAGTCCTGCATCCCCCTTCCCATCCCCACCCCCCTTTCCATGCCACATCCCCACATCCCTCTCCCTGTGCAATCCCTGTTCCCCCCAAACCTCCTCCTCGCGCCTCCACTCCTCCTCTCGCTGCTCCAGCTCATCCCGTGCCCGTGCCCAGTCGGCCGTCAGCTTGCGGATGTCCTCGCTCAGCGCCGCGTTGGCCACGTTGGCTTGTTCCAGCTGCTCCCGCAGCATCGAGTTCACCTGCACCAGGCTGCTGCTCCTGGACGGGGTGGGGAATGGGGGGGTCATTGAAAGCATCACCCCAAGGGGGTCCCACAGCTCCTCAGGGACACACCCCCCCCCTTCACCTCTGCTGCTCCTCTTCCAGCCGGATCAGGGCGTTCTCCAGCTCATTGCTGCCCTCCTCCTCCGGCTGCACGCTGCTCACATCCAGCTGGCTCTGCAGGGATACTTGTCATCAGCATCCCCCAAACCTGGGGGGGTTCAAGGCAGAGGACCCCTAAACCCATCCCTCACCGTCAGCCTCTCCTGCTCCAGCTCTGTCGCCTTCTCCAGCAGCTGCTGCTCCACTTCACCGCATTTCTTCTTATACTGCAGCACCTGGATGGAGGCAACGGGGAGGGTGGCACCGAGACGGGGTCCCCAACGCATCCCTGTGTCCCCTGGGAAGGGTCTACCTTGGCTTGGAGCTTCTGCACCAGCTGGGCCTGGCGCTGCTGGCCCTCCTGGTACGCCTGCAGCTTGCGCTTGTAGGCAGCTTGCTCCTCCTCCAGCAGGCGCCGCAGCTCGATGTTGTGCTGCGCCAGGCTCCGGCTCTCCGATGCATCCCGCTCGCCCGTCTCCAGCCGCAGCGTTTGCTCCAGCTGGGAAGTGGGATAGGATTGATGTCAGGATACCCCCTGAGTCCATCGGGATGTTAAACCCCCTCTGAGCATCCTCCAGTTTCACTCGTATCCAGATCGAGCCACTGCTTCAGGGCATCCTATACAAAGGCCCCCCAAATTCTGCATCCCCCCTTTTGCACACACAGGGAGGGGAGGAACAGGAAATTTTGGGGGTGCTTTCAAAAACATCCCAACTTTGAAGCAGGGGCTTCAGCAAACCCCACCCTGGTTTGCACCGGGATAAAGGAAACCCGGGTGCAGCCACAGTGATCTGCTTTGGGGTGTTATCCTAGGATCTGGGGTATTTTATGGATAACCAGGCACAAACAGAGGGGGTGCCCCCAAAATCCTGGCAGTGCCCCAATTCGGGTCTCCCCAGGAGCCACATTCAGCATCCGGCCATTGCCTAAAGCCCTTTTGAATCCCTCCGTTGCCATGGTGAAGGGATGTGAAGGATGCCCGTGGCAGGGGGTCCTGTTGCCGAAAACAAAAGGGGGATGAGGATGCTTTGTGCATCCCCCAGGACAAGCCCTGGCAAGCCAGGACAGGTCTGGACAGGCCGGCTCTGAAATTCCCATTGATGCCACAGCACCTCCAGCTCCCAGCATGGGGAATGCAAAGATTCCAGCTGGGATGGCTGTGAGGTCTGGGGTTTACAAGGGTGGTTTGGGGCTATCGGGACTCACCCGCTCGCTGATGGCGTTGTACTTGATGGCCAGCTCATCGCGCTCGGCCCGGCTCTGCGCCAGCAGGTCCTCGACACGGGACAGCTCCTGCTGCAGGATGCGGTTCTCCTCCTGGAGGGACAGCAGCGAGGACATGGCCCCCGCTGCGGGACCGGGACCGGGCTCAGGGCGGCTCCGGGAGCAGCGGGACACGGATCCAGCTCCACGATGGAGCCATCAGTGAGGAAGGGGCTGAGCTGAGCCTGCCCCGTGAAAAACCTTTTCCCTCATCCAGCTGCAAATGCTGCGCCCCAACATGCAATGGGAGGCAGCTGCGAGGCCACTGCAAGCTTGTGCCCATAAACCCACTGTGGATCTGCAGTTGCAATCACAAGAGGGGTGCAGGTTTGTGTGCGTGACCACAAAACCACTGCTGATTTGCAACTGAAATCATGAAACGGCTGCAGATTTGCAGCTGCAGCCACAAAACTGCTGCAAAGTTGCAATTGTGAGCACAAAAGCACTGCAAGTTCATAGATGTGAGCACAAAACCACTGCAAACTCAGAGCTGCAGACACAAACCCGCTGCAAAGGTGCCGTTCTGATCACAAACCGATTGCAAACACAGGTCTGTGATCCCAAACCCACTTCAGCTTCGCAGCTGCACTCACGGAAGCAGTGAACCTGTGTCTGTGAGCACCGGGGTGCTGCGTCTCCCCATTGCCATCCCAAACCCACCCCGACTGCATCCGCAGCGACGGAGCCGGCTCAGAGCTGCCATTTCCCCTCCCAAACCCCGTTTGCAGTGGCAAAACCCCACTGCACCGGTGCCTTCTGCATGCAACCGGCCAACCTGATCCACCCCCTCTGCCGCCGCTCCCGCGAGAGCAGCCGCCGGATCCCGCTATGGGGGGGACCAGGAAGGGACAATGTGGGGACCCCACCTCAACCGCAGCCTCCGGATCGCTCATGGGCTCCCTATGGGTGGCCGCCGAGCCCTTGGCACCCCTTTGCTGCAGGCTCCTTGCTCCAAAACCCCTTTGCCGGGAGCTTTTGGGGCTCTGTGCCTGCGAGAGGAAAGCGGATGCGCGGTCGGGATTAGCCCGAAATCCCGGCCTTTTGCCTTCCTCTTCCCTCTGTGACGGCGGGAGCGGGGACCCTCCTCTTCCTGGCTGCCTCAGGGGTCCCAATGCCTCCCAATGGATCACTTCAACACCCACCACCAACAACCCCCCATCCATAAGGATTTGGCACTAAAACCCAGCCAAGGAGGCTCTTGGCACAAGGAGAACGATCAAACTGATGTAAACCACTAAACCCCACCAATCCCCACGCCCAGAATGAGTGGAAATGGGCTTACGCTGCGGTGCTGTCCCCCCCCGGCAGGATGGTGCTGGCTCCCACAGGGAAAGGAGCTCCTTGGAGAGAGCCCTTTCCTTAAGCCCTGGCTCTCATTAAGCTCATTAAAGCCCCGGGGTTTGCTCTGGCAGAAAAAGCTCCGGGGAGGAGCGTGTGGGGTTGCTCCGAGGCCAAGATGCAGTAAAAGTCCCCTTAGGATGTCTGTGTCCCCCCCCGGAGCCTCTGCAGCCACCCCGGGGCGGTAAATATACCCCCCCCGGGGGTAATTGCGGCCTTTGTGCCCCCATCCGGCAGGAAAAGCTGTGGGTAAATCCCCAACTGAGCTCCACATCCCCCACACCGGGGACTGGAGTATCCCTGCTCCTACCCCACAGCCCACCGCTGCCCCAAAAGCTTGGGGAAGCATCCAGAGAACAGGAGATGGACAGGGCGAATGGATGGGATTTAGGGCTTCAGGTCTTGCCTCGAGGCTCCCCCAGGTGATGGGGATGCCAAAACCCTCCTTTTCCCCCCCATTTCTTTCCTTACCTTCCTCTCCTGGAGTCTTTCCCAGCCATAAAGCCACTGCTAAGCAACGAGTGTGTGTTGTGCTTTGCTGTCCAAGACGGTCTCCTCGACACCAGCAAGGAGGGGGAACCACAAAACCACATCCCAGCCCCTCTGAGGGGGGAACACCATTCCTCTTGGGCATCAAAAGCATCTGGAAGCACGTGGAAGCATTAATCCCTCACCTGGGTGTGCAGCCTCACTGCCAGGCTCTGAAACCGTCATTCAGTTGGGAATGGAAGCCATAAAACCCCAAAACACTGGGAAAAACCAAACAGGAGCGGGATTTTGGACACCAAAAAAGCGTCATAGAAATAGGTAAGAAAATATTTATTTGTGTAAAGAGGAATCTCAAGCCCAGCTCTGTCAAAGAGACCAACAACGTCCTGTCCTTCATCAACTGACGAGGTAAAACCGTGTCTTCCCAAAAGAGAGGGGGAAAACCAAACTTCCCCGAGCAAGAAATGAGGAATTTCAGCATGGAAAGGCAGAGGTCCAGCTCCCCACCTCCTGCACCGTGGAGGTAAGCACTCAAGAAGAGATCAGGGCGACGCTCAGCGTTGCATTCATCAGGATCGTGCAGGTGAGATGAATCCAGGAGGATGCTCCTGCCAAGGGAAGGGCTTTTCCAGCCCAAATACACATGGAGCAGCTCCAGCACGTAAACCTCTAGTGAAAACCAGCGCTGGGAGCACTCAATGCCCATCTTGTGATCAAGGGGAGGTGATGAAGATGATGGCTTGTTCTTCCCAATGGAGAAGCCTCGGGAGGTTTCCTGTGATCCGCCCCCCAGGACAGAGAGCACCGGTGTGGAGTGTTTGAAGGCACGTGTGTGTTTGCTTCCTGGCATTCACTGCAGGATCTGGATGCCAGGCAGGATTTAAGGGCAGGAGCGGGGTGTCCCGAAGCTGCTGCTTTGGTCCTGAAGGAATCCCAATGATCCCAGCACCCGTGCAGGGAAGAGCAGCTGAGAGGATGGGGTCAGAACTGAACCCAGCCTGTGTTTGTCTGGGTTGAAGCTGACCTGGAGAAGAAAAAGGGGGAAAAGGAGGTTTTAAATGCCAAAAGGGCCCATGGGACACAGGGAGGGTCCTGCAGGATCACCCCAAACTTCCCAGAGGAAGATGGGGAGGCAGCACCCATAGCCTTGCACTGCACTGAGGCAATGTGCAAGTCACAGCTGCTCTGAAATCCCAAAGGGGTGCTGGGGTGCAGCCATGCCCCCCCCCACCACAATGGGTTTATCCAGGGAAATGAGCAGGAATCAAACCCCACATCCAGGGAAATGAGCAGGAATCAAACCCCACAGCCGGGGAAATGAGCAGGAATCAAACCCCACAGCCAGGGAAATGAGCAGGAATCAAACCCCACAGCCAGGGAAATGAGCAGGAATCAAACCCCACATCCAGGGAATTGAGCAGGAATCAAACCCCACATCCAGAGAAATGAGCAGGAATCAAACCCCACAGCCAGGGAAATGAGCAGGAATCAAACCCCACAGCCAGGGAAATGAGCAGGAATCAAACCCCACAGCCAGGGAAATGAGCAGGAATCAAACCCCACAGCCAGGGAAATGAGCAGGAATCAAACCCCACAGCCAGGGAAATGAGCAGGAATCAAACCCCACAGGGCCTCACCCTGAAGCTTTGGCAAAGTCTCCCCACACATCACTGGTGGAGGCAGAGGGAGCAGCATTCGGCTGTGGCCACGACAAGAGGGAGTCTGTCAGCACCAGGGAAGTCAGGAAAAGAGAACACAAACAGCAGGGGTTATTTCCCACTCTTATTCCCAAATTCCCAGCTGTTTCCCCCATTGTGATGGATAAAACAGAGCCTGAAGAGCTTTACAGCCACCACTGTGTGAGCACAGACCTGTGATGGGGGTGCCTGGGAGCTGGGTGGGATTGGAGAGTGAAGACGGGCGCTCTCCAGAAGGAAGTTTCCCTCCAGGAGGTGGTGGGAGCAAGCTCAGGCCCCCAGGAGCCACAGGCCGGGGTCTGGTGGTCCCGGTTGCTCCTTCCTTTTTCTTCACGTTCTGAAACAAAAGAGGCAAATTTGGGTTTAAATCCGGAGCCAGAGTGCGATTCCTCCCAGGCACAGCTTCCCAAAGCCAAACCCCTTTATCCTGGGGGGGAAAACCCCGCTCTGTAGCAATATCCCACTGCAAAAGGGGTCAGACCAAGGATGGGTTTATCCTTAAATCCCCACCATGAACCCACAGCCCCACCACCCATAACACAACCAGATCCCTGCCTGCAGCGTTACCATGAAGGGCTCTGCGCAGGGATTTTGAGGACAAGCTGCTGCTTCCTCTTGTTCCACCCAAGGAAAGGTGGGATTGAGCTGGAAGAGCTCCTCACCGCAATGTTCAGTTTGATGGTCTGTCCCTCCTTGAAGCCCAAATCCAGCTTGGGGCCCTGCTCGGGGTTCTCGGCCTGCCTGGCCAGCTCGCTCTGCTGCTTCACCCACCTGCAGCGATCACAGAAGCAGGAAAGGAGACGTCAGGAACCAGCCTGAGGCTCTCCCGGATCCATCCAGCCCAAAATCATCCCCCTCTGCCTGGCAGCAGCGATTCAGAGGTGCTGGATGGGAGCTGCCACCTTCCCTGCTGGAGCAATGCAGCAGCATCCCAGTGCTGCAGGAGCAGCCCCTTACCGGTGGCACGAGAAAAGAAGGAAGGGAGTTAAGGAATGTGCTCAGTTTTGGATGGGGAAGCCCAGTCTGGGACCCTGCTAATGCAGAGTGGGCAATATCTGAGAGAAGGAAAGCTGCCTGCACAGGGAAACAGGGGTTTCCACCTCACAACACCACTCAAGTGTGCCTCCCACTTCCTCTCCACCACTTCTGGTGAACATCCGCCACAAAAATGGAGCTGAGAAGACACAGGGGGAGGCACAAACTCACTTAAAGTGGTCCTGGAGAGCAACGTTGAAGTCAAAGGCATCCCCTCGGTCAACAAAGCCAACTCCGATGAAAGCACGGCGGCCTGGGAAGGAGGAACGGGAAGGGTTGGAATTGCAAAGCAGCAGAGGAAGAGGGATGGGACATCCCATCGTGCCTGACACCTCCTCCTGCAGGAGCTGGGCCCATGGAGGCTGAGATAAGGGACTGGGAATATCTTCTGTTTGCTGGCTGCATGGACAGGAGAAGAGAAGGCTCCAGAAGGGGAGACCTTGGAGCAGCTCCAGGAAACCTGGAGAGGGGCTTGGGACAAGGGCCTATAGGGACAGGCCAAGGGGAATGGCTTTAACCTGCCAGAAGGGAGACTGAGATGAGCTCTGAGGCAGAAGCTCTTCCCTGTGAGGGTGCTGAGGCAGGGTGAGTAAAACCAGCTTTTACATTCCCATAAGCGAGTGAAAGCAGAGGGAGGCATCAGGATGATGATCCTGCATCCTCATGTTAACCCCAAGCAACAAAATCAAAATGGTTTTAGTTCCTGATAGAGGCCAGAGTGTGTCTGAGCCATGGGAGCGACAGAACTCATCCCTCTGCCACTGGATGCTGGGAATATTTGGCACTTAAAAGCAAGAATCCGCAGATCAGAGCAGTGAGGGCAATGAGGACGTTCTGAGGTGACTCCCCCAACACGTGCCCCATGGATCGGGATGTACCGTTCCCATCTTCGACCCGGATGACAAAGTATCTGCTGGAGTCTGTCACACTCTCCACAGCGATGCCGGGGAACTGCTCCACTGGTGCCTGGGCAAAAAGCTCTCCTGGAAAAATCACAGAACCATGGAATTGTTTCAGTGGGAAAGGACCTCAAAGCTCCTCCAGCTCCAACCCCTGCCACGGGCAGGGACCCCTTCCACTGGAGCAGCTTGCTCCAAGCCCCTGTGTCCAACCTGGCCTTGAACACTGCCAGGGATGGGGCAGCCACAGCTTCTCTGGGCACCCTGTGCCAGCGCCTCAGCACCCTCACAGGGAAGAGCTTCTGCCTAAGAGCTCATCTCAGTCTCCCCTCTGGCAGGTTAAAGCCATTCCCCTTGGCCTGTCCCTACAGGCCCTTGTCCCAAGCCCCTCTTCAGCTTTCCCTGCAGCCCCTTCAGGCACTGGAGCTGCTCTCAGGTCTCCCCTTCAGGAGCCTTCTCTTCTCCAGGCTGCCCCAGCCCAGCTCTCTCAGCCTGGCTCCAGAGCAGAGCTGCTCCAGCCCTCGCAGCATCTCCACGGCCTCCTCTGCACACATCCCCCCTGCAGCAGCTGCGCCGAGAAGGGCCCTGATGGATCCGTGCCCTCCTCCCCTCCTTACCCGTGTTCTTATCCTCCAGCTTGATGAAGGCGACGCTGCCCCTGGCCGTGACCCGCATCCTGCCGCTCCACGCCGGCTGCTCCAGCTGCCACTCCGCAGCCCTGGGGGATGCGGAAAGAGCCCATCCAGACCCACGGCGACATCCCCATGGCGCCCGCCTGCCTCAGCAACGGCACCGACAGCCCCCGTGCGCCCCTGCAAGGAGCCGGCTCCTCCGGACACCTCTCGTTTCACCCCAGAAGGGACCCAGCAAGAGGTTTCGCTTCCCCTTCCGCAGCGGGACAGCAGCTTCTCGGGGCTGCAGGGCCCCGCCTGCCCCACTGCCCTCAGGGGCAGCCCCCGAGCACCCCGCGGGACCCTCTGCGGGGACCGAAGCAGCGGGGACGGCGGAGGCCCCACCTGTACCCGCGGTTGGAGGCCCGCGGCGGCAGGCGGTAGACGTGCACGGCCGGCTTCACACACAGCACCGCCTCGTACTCCTCCTCCGCCGCCGCCATCGCGGCGCCGCTCTGCCCCGCCGCCTCCATGGTACCGCCCTGCGCCCAGCGGGTGGGGCGGAGGGGACGGGCGTCAGCCGCCGCCGCGCCCCCTGGCGGGCGGGAGGGTGCACTGCGAGGGGTTGGGGGGGGCACGGGACAGGGAAGGAGCCTGTCCCCCTGGCACTGAGACACCTTTGAAAGCGATTTCATCGTTAAAGGACATTAAAAATAAGAATTACGTCATTAATAAGAAGCAATTAATTAATAAGAAATAATTAATTAATAAGAATTTAAAAGGTGTCAGGACCGGTGAGAGCCACCCACACACCCCCAATTCAGCCAGAGGCACCCAATAGCCCCTTACCCCGCTCCTCCAAGGGTTATCCAGCACAGCACCAAGGAGGGAGGCCAGCACATGGCAATATCATTAATAACATTCAATTAATCACATTGATTTACTTAATTTCATTAAAATTAATTAATTAAATTAATTATCCCTTCACCCCCCCCCCAGTAGGAGGCTGCCCAGGCACAGCTCACACCAGTTCTGCAAACCACATCTTCCCCCTGAGCTCCCCCCTTCCCCCTCCTCAGCAAGCCCAAAAATGGGACAAAATTCATAGAACCATAGAATGGTTTGGGTTGGAGAGGATCTTAAGATCATCCAGGTCCAACCCCCTGCCATGGGCAGGGACACCTCACACTAAACCATGGCACCCAAGGACTCGTCCAGCCTGGCCTTGAACACTGCCAGGGATGGAGCATTCACAACCTCCCTGGGCAACCCATTCCAGTGCCTCAGCACCCTAACAGGAAAGAACTTCTTCCTTAGATCCAATCTAAACTTCCCCTGTTTAAGTTTTAACCCGTTACCCCTTGTCCTATCACTACACTCCCTAATGAAGAGTCCCTCCCCAGCATCCCTATAGCCCCCCTTCAGACACTGGAAGCTGCTCTGAGGTCTCCATGTGACTTCTCTTCTCCAGGCTGAACAGCCCCAGTGTTCTCAGCCTGGCTCCATACAGGAGGTGCTCCAGCCCCTGATCATCCTCGTGGCCTCCTCTGGACTTGTTCCAACAGTTCCATGTCCTTTTTATGCTGAGGACACCAGAACTGCACACAATGCTCCAGGTGAGGTCTCACAAGAGCAGAGCAGAGGGGCAGGATCACCTCCTTCGCCCTGCTGGTCACGCTCCTTTTGATGCAGCCCAGGATACGGTTGCTTTCTGGGCTGTGAGCGCACACTGAAGCCGGCTCATGTTCATTTTCTCATCAACCAGCACCCCCAAGTCCTTCTCCTTGGGCTGCTCTGAATCTCTTCTCTGCCCAACCTGTAGCTGTGCTGGGATTGCTCCGACCCAGGTGTAGGACCTTGCACTTGGCATGGTTAAACTCCATGAGGTTGGCATCAGCCCACCTCACAAGCGTGTCAAGGTCCCTCTGGATGGCATTCCTTCCCTCCAGGGTATCAACCGAACCACACAGCTCGGTGTCATCGGCAAACTTGCTGAGGGTGCACTCAATCCCACTGTCCGTGTCAGCGACAAAGATGCTGAACCAGCCCGGTCCCAACACCCATCCCTGAAGGACACCACCTTTTTGGCTTCGTACCAGCACAAAGGCCAAAAACCTCCTCATTTTTTACCTTCCCAAGGGATGTTTAAGGCTCTGCTCACACCGGGAGCTCATCCATCACCACCCCCCTCTCCTGCAGCAGTCCCTTTGGGATGGGGGTGGATAAAGCAGAACCAAACGCATTTTGTCGTTAAAAGTTTAAAGACATTTATTTAAAATACAACTTTATAAAACGTTTTCTTCACGGCGCACGGGGTTTGGGGGGGGGGGGAGGGGGTGAAAACACACGTGGTACCGTGGTCATCCTCAGCGTTCCCGGGATGAAGGGGCTTCCCGCAGGAACGCCGCCGAGCCCTGCCCGCGGGCCGGCCGGCTCCTGGTCACCGGGATGGAGGAGCCGGGAGAGATCCGTGCTGGAAAAGGAGGTTTTGGTGCTGGAGATGGAGATTTCAGTGCCGAGATGGGAGGTCCGGGTGCTGGAAATGGAGATTCCGGTGATGGAGCTTGGAGGGGGGGGGGGGTTCAGTGCCGGAGATGGGATGTTTTGGAGGCAGCGACTTTAACACTGATCAGCTACACCAAACCCCACTGGATTTGGGGCTATTCAAAGCTATTTTGGATAATCATTAAGGAAAGGCGCGGTGACTGCGGTTATTGCTGATGTCATTCCCCTCTCCCGCTCCCCCCAGGGCCTCAGCCTGACATTGGGAGGGGATAAACATTAGGACCCCCCCCCCCCCCCAAAACATGGGGATACCCAGGGGATCCCTGCCCACCACCCCCTCACCACCATCCTCAGTGCTTGAATGAGCCCATTAATGCTCTAACGGGGTCATTGAGACACAGGTAGGTTTATTTGACCGTCTGGGGTTGGGGTGAACACGTCTGTGGGTGTCCAGGCACTTCCCTGCGCGTGGAGGACACCGGGATTCACTCCTTTACCCCTGAACCTACTGAGCACAAAGCGGCACAATCATGCACCCAGAACCAGCAATGGTTTTCCAGGTCCCATCCCCTCCAGGACGAGCACTTAGTGTTCATCTCATCCCTCAATATTAAGGTAGGTCAGCTTCATCCAGGGGGGCAATATCCACGTTTTCACCATCACCAGCCTCCCCGTCATCCTCCCGGGAGCTGGAGGAGGAATATCGCTTCCCAGCAGCCGCCGGTACGATGGTGGGAATCATCCAGACTTTATCCAGCGCTGGGTTTCTTCCCTGATGTGATTCCAGGAGGGAAACGCAGCTCGTACCGTGACCATCCGTGACACTCGGAGTCAGCGCCATGGGACACCCCATTCCCTGGCCACACGACAAGCCTCATTCCACGGACCACAGCAGCACCTTCTCCTCCGTGCAATGGATTCCTAATCCTTCACCTCCCGGTGCTCTCAGCCAGGTGGGAAGCGTTTTCCTGGGATGGGGGCACGCTCCCTGCTCCCCAAATACAAAAAAAGAAAGCCAAAAAACCAACCAAAAAAGATGATTTGAAGCTTTTCCTCAAAGCCAGCAGAAAACACCAGCCAAGCTCTACCAGGAGCAGGATGTAAACTCGGTCATCGGGCTCCAACAGCTCCCAAAGGTGGGAATCTGGAGTCTGCACCCCCTGTGCTTGGCAGAAGTGGAAATGGAGAAGGAGAAGCAAGCAGCTGCCAAAGGCGAGCTGGGAAAAGCTGCAGCAATTCACTGAAATTCCTTGTTGGAAGCTTAACTCCCTCTCACAATGAACCCCAAGAGCTCAAACCCATCCCATGTGCTCCGCCAAACAGACAGCAGAGAGGACATGAAATAAAGAGAGATCCTTGGAAGCAGAACTCGCTCCTAAGGCGATGAGGACAACACGTGCGTCTGGGGAGCATTCCCAGGGGTTTTGCTTCCTTAAATCCCGGGTGACGAGGACGACAAACGTTATTGCTGGCGCTAGCTGCAGCCCAAGCACCGCGCCCGCGGCTCCCTGCACCCATCTGAGTCCTTTAACCCCCCCCCTTGTCGTCCCGGCCATGCGGGGACAGCCCTTCGCCGTCTGTGGGTCACAGTGGGTGGCGAGGGGAGGTCACAGTGCGTGGGGATGAAGGTCACAGTGGGCAGAGCAAAGGGGATCACAGTGCAAAGAACCCGGGGAGTTCCCTTTGCTCAAGTCCGACGCAGGGCAGCGGGCGCTGCCTCCCGCAGCAGCATCTCCCTCCTGCCCGCCTCTATCTGCGCTGCTTGAAGCCTTGGGAGCCGTCAGGACCCAGGGGTTGCCTAATCACATTGTTGGGCTGCCTGGTGTCTTCTGGCTGGGAAATCCTCGGGGGCCTGCAAGGAGAGAGGAGGTCAGAGGAGGAGGTTGGATCTGGTGATCCCTGAGGTCGCTTCCAGCCTGGGATGCTGTGATACTGCACCCGCCTCAGTGGGGAGCCACCACCACGGAACAATCGGTGCACATCACTCCCTGGGACAAGGAATGTGGCCCAACCCAAACCAGCACTTAGGTTTCTATCCAGAGAACACACAGCACAATGCCTCCAAGTGACCTGTGTGCAGTAAAGAGCATTCACACCCTCCCTTCTGCATGTGGTGGTTTCCTCAAGTCTAAACCCTCAGGGCAGATGAAGAAATGTCCTGCTGGGATAAACCAGGAAGAGTCGTCCCCCGCCCGTGTGCTGGGCTGCACCCCCAGAGCGTGAGCAGCAGCTCAGGGAGGGGATCCTGCCCCTCTGCTGTGCTCTGGGGAGACCCCCCCTGCAGCCCTGATCCAGCTCTGGGGCAGCAGCACAAGAGGGATGCGGAGCTGTTGGAGTGAGGCCAGAGGAGGCCATGGAGATGCTGCGAGGGCTGGAGCAGCTCTGCTCTGGAGCCAGGCTGAGAGAGCTGGGCTGGGGCAGCCTGGAGAAGAGAAGGCTCCTGAAGGGGAGACCTGAGAGCAGCTCCAGTGCCTGAAGGGGCTGCAGGAAAGCTGGAGAGGGGCTTGGGACAAGGGATGTAGGGACAGGCCAAGGGGAATGGCTTTAACCTGCCAGAGGGGAGACTGAGATGAGCTCTTAGGCAGAAGCTCTTCCCTGTGAGGGTGCTGAGGCGCTGGCACAGGGTGCCCAGAGAAGCTGTGGCTGCCCCATCCCTGGCAGTGTTCAAGGCCAGGTTGGACACAGGGGCTTGGAGCAAGCTGCTCTAGTGGAAGGTGTCCCTGCCTGTGGCAGGGGTTGGAGCTGGAGGAGCTTTAAGGTCCCTTCCAACCTAAACCAGGCTGGGATTCTATGAACCCTAGTTGTCCACACATCTCTCTTTCCCCCCCTCATGCTCTTCCAGGGATCAAAGATCACCCGAACAGCCACATCAGGCACTTCCCTGAAGTCCCATCTATTTGAGGTTCAGGCCTCCCTGCTTGCTCGCAAAGCAACGCCTTCTCCTCGATGGCCTCACTTTGCTCTCCAAGGAGCTGTTCGGGGAGCTGGCTCACACGGAGCACACAGGGAGCTGCTCTCACCTATCCAGGATGGGT